ATCAATGTCATAGGACAGCCAGCCTTTTTTTTTTTTTTGTCTGTAAGACAACACCATATATGTCCGAAACCACATCTGAATTTACAGACATTTCCTTCCAGAACAATACATTTAGAATGTATTTAATTACACATAATTATCATTTTGCCAGCTACCTAGCCTTTAATTCCTCATATTTTACTTCTTTTTTTCTTTTCTTTTTTGAAACTGTAGCATCTTTTTTTTTTTGACAGAATCTGCACCTTGAGAATTTATACAGGCACAGCTCTGGATACAGTTGCTTTGGTACTGAAAAGCGTAGTTTTGCAGCTTTCTATTACATGACACAGAGTATAATAACAAAAGCTATTCTTCCACATCTGTCAAGAAAATTTATCTCCAAATCAGTCTCAGACAGAAACTATTATAGGCTGTGCTTGCACAGGCTGACCATGGTAGATTAGTCAGCCTCAAAAATAAAGATTAGCCCTTCTTCCTTCTTAGGAAACGCCACGTCTTTTTGCAAAGCTTACACATGAATGTACTTATTGCAAACTATTTAACAAAAGCACTTTGCAGTTTTGAAAATGTATGAACTGGAGGATTACAAACATTTGTAAAACCATATCCTGTCAGCTCCTGGCGTTCACGATAATTAGACATCAGGTGCCAGGTGCTAAAAGAGAACAGCATGGGAGAAGTAATCACACATCAAACCAAAATGAACCATAGGGGAACTTTTAAGATTATATGACAGTGTGGGATGTGACATTGAGGAATACTGAATGTGGAAAAAGGCCAATTCAGACTGAGATAAATTCTCATTTCATTCTGATACTTCAGTTATCAGCAAGAAGGAGACTAGAAGCAGAAAACTGCAGTAATGTATAATGATGTGTTAGAGGACTCAGGGCAGGGAGATTTCATGTCTGAATATGACACGTTTTTTAAAGCTCTTCCTTCAGGGTTTTTCAAGGAGAATACTTAATTCATGCAGGGTACCAAGTCCTGTGCAAGGGTGAGCTGTCAGGCGTTTGTACTGTTCCATTACTAGCTTGCAGAAAACCTTTAAAACCAGGGCTTCCCTGCTAAAGATGCAGAAAAGCCTACAAAGTCATCTTTCCCTTGTGCAAATGAGAGACATGAGTGGACAGGGAAGAATTTCTGATGAAGAAAGGAGCAAGCGTTCCTGTGTGGTAGTAAAAGATAGAGGTTGCTTATGCTGGTCTGCTCAACCTGCCCGTGAAACAGGGATATTTTCTCTCAGGCCACACAAGGTCAAGTCCAGCCTCATGGATCTCATATTCAGACCAAAGGGTCCCACAGAGCACACCAAGGCCTGTGCCAAAATCTCTTGCAATGGTCCATCTACTGATGGAATAAACCTCCTCTGTGATAGGGAAGTACAAACAGTCTGCTCTCAAAGACATTTTCTGGAACAGCACAAAGTCTCTTCTGTGATTTGAGCTCCTGACTGTGTACTGCAGGCCAACTCATCAGTGGCTTTCACAGTCATACAGCCCCTCTTCAACCTCAAATGCATTATACTAATACGATTTCTTTCAAATCTGTGTTTTCACATAAATTCACTCTGAGACATTTTTTATATATGAAAAGCATTGTGTTTCTGAAAAGAAATTCAAATTTTCCAGTGGCCATCTTGGGACTTCGGAGATAATTCCTGCGAGTGTAATTTCTTTTCCTCAAGAGGAATGTGACCAATAATTGAAGCTCAGTACCTCCAGTTTTATGTATCCCTGACTAAATGAACCACTACTGCTGCATCACTATTCACCTTTTATAAAAGTAACACCATCTACTTCACATGGGGAAAGGATTAATGCAGACCTGTAATACTGTAATTCAAGTGTGTGTAGTAAAAAGTAGAAAACATTACACTATTAAAATTCCTGGTTTTCAGTATAAGCATGTAAATTAAGCAGTAGCAGAAATAATTCTGCAAGACAATGACAGAAAGCACCCTTGAAACAAAAATCTTACCCAGCACATATTGGTTTCATAATATCCCTTTTATTCAACAGTATAATTGAGGAGCATATATTTGACCTCTTTCACATTTTATAAGTGGAGGATTAAAATCCATAATCTCAATTACTCTCTTAATAGACTATCTTGACTTTTTTTTCACCTGTTGACTTGCAGGATAAAGCTATTTACAAGTGATGTTATTGAGGAGAGCGCTGCCATAATGAAAATGCGGTAAGACAAAGAAATCTGATAAGGAGACCAGAAAACACATTTGGAAGCGCCCTTCTCAAGTCTAATTTATTCAATATGAATACTGTGAAACAACTGTGTGTCTAATGTAGAATCAGGTATTAACTTGGTACCAGCTATTTGAGTCAGTAGTTTGCAGCAAGTTGCAGGCACTTGTCAGAAAGCAAAAGTCTGTGAACAAGAAGGTAGTTTAGCAGTGAAATGCAGAAGGCAGGGAAGAAAGAAAGCACATTAAACTGCTATGCTATCTCCTCTCCTTATGCTGACATCTTTTCTCTTGCAATTCTGTATTTTTTTAGTCTATTTCATGTGCAGCCATGCAGCTGCATGCACCAAACCGCTAAGTTTTACTGAGTAATCTCAGCCCTCCTGGTTTCAGTCCTGTAGGGGACAATATGATGGGTTACTATGACAGATAGTTCCTAGTAAAATTCTTTTTTCCCTTTTCTATAAGAAATTGCCAAAAAAGTAGCTATATTTTGCACTCAAGTTTCATCACAAGACAATTGATTATCCTCTTTGTGCCTGATCTGTTTTAAGTCACAAACACTTCTTTCATTTTTGTAGCAGCAGCTCAGACCCTTGGAATGTGCTCCATGCAAACAAACAAGACTAACACAGCCTCTCTTGCCTCATCTGTATGTGTAGCAGAATTGTTTCCCTCAATACAAATACAATTTACATTCCTCATAAATCAAGGTTGTCTGATGTCTCCACTTTCAAATCCCAGCTGCTGCAAATCTTACACACATGATAAATCGTTCCTTTTAGAAAGAAAGCTGAAGCATGAGGAAGAATCATAGAATGGTTTGGATTGGATGGGACCTTAAAGATTGTCTGGTTGCAACCCCTCTGCAATGGGCAGGGACACCTTCCACTAGACCAGGTTCCTCAAAACCCCACCCAACCTGGTCTTGGGGGATCCAACTTCCAGGGATGGGGCAGCCACAGCTTCTCTGGGCAACATGTGCCAGTGCCTCACCACCCTACAGTAAAGAACTTCCTCCTAATGTTTAATCTGAACCTATTCTCTTTTTTGTTTAGATCCATTACCCCCCTTGTTCTGTCACTACATGCTGCCAGCAAAGAAGCAAGCATTGCATCAGATTTACAGTGAGCAGACATTATTTAAGAATTAGATTTACAAAGGAAAGGTGTAGCTACAAGGTTGAGGCAGCAACACAGATGTGCCCGTTGTAGAAGCCATGTGCAGGCTTAGAAGATAGGCAGAGCAGCACCACACGGACGGGGCACTGCCATAGCCTGAATGGGGCTGGAAATAAATGATCTTCGAGGTCCCCCTCCAAGCCAAACCATTTTATGATTCTATGATACTCCTTCTACTGACACAGTGCAACCAAAAAGAGCGCTGAACAGGGAAGCTGCATAGAAGTAACACTAGTGAGACAGAACTAGCAAGATTCAGTTTTATTCTGCTCTGTCAGTATGGAATACAAAGCTGTGTTTCATGTCAGTACATACAGGCAACGTGTGTATTAGTGATTGTGATATGTGTGGAAACCGACCATGGGACAGTTATAAAGATGAATTCTAATAAATAACTGAGGGAGTAAAGCATGGAAGAAGGCCTTTGAACCTATCCTTTGTTCACAATCAACCTTTATAAGTCTTGAGTTGATTTAGGAGCATTTGCATTAAAGCTTTAAGGATGTTGCTGTTTGACAGGAACTTTCTTCTTGTAGCTAAGCCTTAAAGAGATTTGCAATAATAACCTTTTGAAGTATAATTTTAGAATATTGCTTGTAGTGAGGATCTTTGAAACTATAGCATTAGAATACATAAAGAGGAAACATGCTTATCTCGATGCCTTAACAAAACAGTGAAAAGCAGCTTGAGAAAGGAAGATGAACATTAACTCAAGGATTGATAGTTTCAGCCAAGGGAAGCTGGACATCACTGTTATGAGATTTCTAGTCCTTGCAATTAAAAGCTGGACCCACATCTGGAATCTAGACCTCACCAGCTGGGAGACTTCTTTCTTCTTTCGGAAGCTGGATCCCACCATCTGGGGATACTCCTTTCTGGGACACATCCTGAGAAAAACTAAATCACAATAGTGTATAGAATTGTGATGTAAAAATTTGGAATAGAAACTGCTGAGAAAGCTTATGAATAAATATAAATAAAATATAAATACCTGTAAGCCTCAACTATCGGTGTGCAGTTGGAGGGAAAATTTCCCCCACTGTACCCAGCGCTGTATTGCTCATACTTTACCATATTAATTAATAAATTGATTTCTGCTTGTATATTGGCCTAGTCAAGCTTCTCATTTATAACATCAGCGCTCAAGTTCGGCCAGTGAGTGCTCCTCCCACACGAGCACTAGGGAACTCCGACTGCGGGCTCCTGGGGCGGTGTTGTGAGGGAGCCGCGGTGACGAACCCCTCCCCTGCCGGTATTTCTCCACGTGCGGGCCGAGATTGCCGCGTTAGGCGAGCAAGGCACTGCCCGCACTCAGATGGGCCATGGGGGAGGGGCTGACCGGCACACAGGAACCCCCAAGGGGCCTTGGGGGACAAACACCTTCTTCGCCCACAGAGCCGCTTTTATATAGGGCGCGCGCGCCCCCCCCGCCGCCGTCGCGCGTCCCAATTGGCTACAGCGGGACGGGGGCGGGGCTCGAGCAGCCGGGAGGGCGGTAGCGCATGCGCTATTGGCGGCTCGTTGGGGGCGCGGGGTCACGTGGCGGGGGCGGCGGTTGTTGGCGCCTCAGCGACCGGGAGGGCCCAGGCGGCGGGTGCGTGAGGGGCGGCTCTGCTCTCTTCTCCCCTTCCCTTTCCCCGCTCCCTCCCTTATCCGCTTTCCCTTCCCCCGCTGGTTTAGTTTCTCTTCCCTCCGCGCTGTCCCTCCTCTGCTCGGGCGGACTCAGGTGCGGCCCCGGCGGGGTGTCCCGGTGAGTGGCGGGAGCGGCCCGGCGGAGCCGCGGCCCTCTCCGGCCCGCCGCAACCGCCTTGTGCTGCGGCTGAGCCCGGGCAAGCGCGGCCTTCGCAATCTCTAGCTCCGCTCTTATCCTTTGAATCCAGGCTTTGCATTGGTCATCGTCTGCATTTTCCCCTCTTTAGGAGTGCGTCTATGTGCGTGCGTGTGAGAGAGAGAATGTAGCAATTTGCTACTTAGTTTTGTGCCGTGGTAAACTTCTGTAGCTCATCGGGTGACTGAGGGAGGGCTGGCAGGATCCGGGATGCTACTGACCCTCTTTATGCTGTAAAGAGCTTGGGATTCATTGCTTTAATAACCCTTTACCGAAAGTGTCTCACGGATCTTCGGCTTTACACCTCACCTGATTTCTTTACAGTGTTGTTATTTTATCTGTGATACTGTGTCTCTCTAAATGTACCAAGATCAGTATATATGATGCTGAAAAGAGTTGTTTCCTGGTGTGTCGTGTTGGTTGAACTCTTAGTACTATATGAATTGCTCACTAGATTTTTTTAGAATTGGCAGTGGCTTTTGAAAGTCTTTGCTTGCTTTGTATCAATATTTTCAGGGTTATAAATATTTCAAGATCCAGTAAAAATCTTACTTGATTTGGGGGCAGGGGAATTTTAGGCTTTCACAGTAAGATCTTGAGGGAAATATAATTTGAAGTTTGTCTTCTTAGGAAATCTTGAATGAAAAATCGCTAGTGAGCAGTTTCAGCTTTCCAGTGAAACACTTGGCACGCAGACTGTTGCTAGAGTTACAGAGTCTGTAGGGCAGAAAACCTTGGAGTGCAGCCAAAAACATCAACAAAATTGCTGTTGGATCTTAAGTCTTCTCTCCAACAGTTAAGAGAGTGTTTCAGTACAAATCATCTGAGTGGCCAGCCTGCTTACTGTGTGGTGTGCTTTTCAGTAGTTGGTGGGTTTGTTTTTAAATCTTCCCAGGAGCACTTTGCAAATGATGGTGGCTGGTCCATAGAGTAGACTGTGAATGTCATCCTGCTGCAGTGTTTGGTGCATAGCTCAAAGAAGTTCAAAAGCGTTATCTTTTGTGACTGTGACAAAGACAGAGCCAGTGCTGTTGATTAGAGTCGTTAAGGTTGGAAAAGACTTCTGAGGTGTCAAGTCCAGCCTTCAGCTGGGACAGACATGAGCAGTTGTAGCTCTCACATGCAGATGCCATGATAGAGTTACAACATCATGACAGTATCCTGTTTTTGTAGCTGTTTTGCCAGTGTCATTTATGCACAATTTCTCTTTTTCTTTGCATTGTTCTCATAGAAGTTGATTATTCAGCATATCCAAAGATGAAGAGGAAACTTGCGACAGCTGGGACCTTGAGGCTTAGTCCTAATGAAGAAGCCATGTTTCTGAAAGAAGAATATGAAAGAAGAAGAAAACTAAGGTTACAACAGGTATGCCTGTATTTTTCCATGTGTTGTATTTCATTTGATGATGTAACAAATAATTTAGGAAAAGTAACTGAAAAGATTATTTCCTGTAAGCTAAATTTCAGGGTAATAGTATTGTGGAATGGTGGAATTTTTTATATTGGAAAAGACCCTTGAGATCATCATGTGCAGCTATTAATCCAGCACTGCCAAGTCCACCGCTAAATCATGTCCTGAAGTGCCACATCTACATGCCTTTTGAACTTTTCAAGGGCTGGTGACTCAACCACTTCCCTGGGCAGTTTGTTCCAGTCCTTGACAGCCTTTTCTGTTTAAAAAAAAAAGTCTAAAATACAAAGTGGAAAATAATAAACTATGTTTACTAGGTTTTCAGTATAGTTGTTGATTTTTTTTTAATCTCGAATGGTAATAGGAGCTTGTCATAGATTATTGTGTTGTATTTTTGGAGGGAAAGATATTCCAAGCAGTGTTTACTGTTTGTCACTTGTATGTCATTTTTTGGACTTTAGCCAAAATGTTTAATTAAGATTAGATTTATTATTTTAGTTATTAATTTTGGAAAAAGGTAACAGGAACTTGAAAGTGTTTTCTGGACAGATTGTGAGTGGAGTAGTAGGTGAGATGGAGGGAGGGTAAACTGTTGTGGAAAGTCTTGCTGCAAAAAGTGTTATGCTTTTCTTGAGTTGCTGGTAAACATAAATGCTATTTCTACAGGTCAGAGAGCAGCAGAAGTATATCTCCTGCCAGATAAGGCAGAAGGTAAAGCAGAGGAGAGAAGAACAACTGCATCAGTTAGAGGAGGCACTGAGAGCTGAATGGCAGAAGGCACAGGATGAGAGGATGAAAGCCCTGGAAGAACTTTATCTGTCAAGCTTAAGAGCAATTGGGGAGGGTCACCGACAGGCCAAGGAAAACGTAAGCGAGCTTAATATTATTGTGTCATGGTTTCACCCCAGCCAGCAGCCAAGCACCAGGCAGCTGCGTGCTCACTGCCTCACCAGTGGGATCAGGGAGACAATCAGAAGGGTAAAAGCCAGAAAACTCATGGGTTGAGATATAGACAGTTCAATAGGGAAAGCAAAAGCCACACACAGAGCAAAGCAAAATGAGGAATTCATTCACATCTTCCCATGGGCAGGCAGGTGTTCAGCCATCTCCAGGACAGTGGGGACCCATCATGTGTAATGGTTGCTTGGAGAAGACAAACACCATCACTCCAAACATCTCCCCTTTCCTCCTTCATCTCCCCACTTTATGCAGTGAGCATGATGCCATGTGGTCTGGAATATCTCTTTGCTCAGCTGGGACCACCTGTCCTGGCTGTGCCTCCTTCCAGCCTCCCACGTACCCCTCACCCTCTCACCTGTGTGGCAGCACAAAGAGCAGAAAAGGCCTTGGCTCTGTGTGAGCCCTACTCAGCAATAACAAAAACATTTCTATATTATCAACCCTGTGTTCAGCACAAATCCAAAGCACAGTCTCATACCAGCCACTGTGAAGAAAGTGATTTCTATTCCAGCCAATACCAGCATGTATCGTCAGAGCCAATTTTGATGTTTTAGAAATACCAAAATTGCTGTTTGTTTGGTTTTCCTTTGACATTCCTGATTTTGAAGTCCTGATACGTAAATAGACAACATTATAAGCATGGAAACTTTCTTGAAATGGTTGTGTACTTTTTTGCAGGTATCTTCCCACAGTCTATGGGCCTTTCTGTGAAGGCTTTTGCTGGGCAGACTTTAAAGCTTCTTTGTGTTAGCTTCTATGATCATGTACATTTGTACTTGACTAAATTGTACATAATGACTCAGTATCTCAATTATGCCAGTTATACAGTAATTTTTTCTCCACCATGGATCTTTTCTATGGTTAAGAAAACACACCTAACAGTTTTTTCCCCTTCAGTGCTCCAGTGACACGGAAAGTCTTTGTAAGGGCTTCAGAGGCCTTTGCCTCGACTACAAATGGGTGTCACTTTTTAATTCTGCACCTATAAACTGGTTCCACTTTCTTTAAAAACCTGTAACTTTTGTAGGCTCTGCTTGAGAGATCACCGAGATTGCTGGGTAGAATTTTTCTGTAGGTTTGTCTCTGAATCAGGTTTACAGAAATCAGCTGAAGATTTCTTACATGGATTTTGCAAAGTAGCTTACTTCCTGAATTAGTCAGGATCTTTAAACCCAAGTAAAATAGCATTATGCTTTTCCATTTATCCGTGTCTCTTCTTTATTAAGTCCTTTCCAATGCTAGGATGGGTGAGTTAGCAAAAAACTATGGAACCAGTGTTATAGGAAGGGTAGTAACACGCTTCTTCTACGTAGTTTAGTCTGCATTTGCTACAGGGTGTTTAAATAATTGTGTTTCATTATCTTTTTCATCAAACTGATGTAGAAGAAGCTAGGATTTCTACATCAATATTTGGTTAATTGGATGAGGGATGTGGCAGGTTCGCTGCTGTTTTTGGCAGAGAAGAAGAAAATAAAAATGGCAGAGAAGGAAAAGTTATTAGAGTATTTTAACCTTAATACAGTAAAAGGTGGTTTTGAGGTTGTGCTTCTTACCAGCAGTATGTAATTAGAAATATCGTACTGATAGTATGCAATGTGAGTAAAATTCTATGTTAAGTGATTACAATATTTTAATGTTAAGGAACCTGACTTAGAAGCTCTGGCAAAGCAAGCAGAGGAGAGGAAACAAAGAGCAGAGATGAGACATAGAAAAGCTCTGATAGAGCAGAAGCACCAAAAAGAAAAATTACTTTGTGAGCAAGCCAGGTATGCAATACTTATTTTGTTTTATTAAGAATGAACTTTACAGTGTCACAAGGTGAAGGGCGAAAATGTTGATGCTTCTTGGTTGGAGCTTTTTCAGTCTTGAAATTTTATGGGTTAGAGAATTAATGAGCTTGTGGCTTTTGATAAAAACTGTGTCTTTAAAACCAAGACAAGAATGTCAGATATTCAAACTGGCCTTATAGATTCTCCAGGAGTTCAGTGACATATGAAATGAAATGTTGTCAGGCCAGTTCCTGATGGAGAGCTAACCACCTGGAAAAAGGACCCAGTGCATTTGTCATGGTCTTCCTTCTTAGGTTTTTTTTATTAAGCAGATTGGACCAAACTTGAGCTGGTATGGAATTTGGTCTGTGTCCACTTGGGCATAGTTGTGCTTGGGTAGAGCTAAGACTTGTAAATTAAGTAGTTAACTGTATCTACACTCAAGCAATTAAAGTGTGTTAAAGTGCACAGTGCTTTCTGAAAACTTAGGTCAAAAGCAGAGATTTTGTGTTGCTTTTGGGATGCTTTTTTTTTGTATATATGAACGTTTTTGCATAACTTGAAGAAGGTACTTTTTAATGCTGCCTCCCAGCCCAAGTTCTGTTGTCTTTTTAATATGCTTCCCCGTGCTTATGGCCCAACCATTCAGTGCAGGTACTTAGGAATCTGATTTCAGGTTTACCTTTTATTTTGCACTCTTCTGTCACTGTTGCTTGAATAATTTTCCATTTCTCTTCTCTTTTGTGGTTTGTTTTGTTTTTGTCCCCCAAGACGAGCAGATGCACGCAAACGTGCTCTGGAAGTGGAAAGACAAAGAGCAGCCAAAGTTGCAAGCCTGCCACCTCCTCCACCACGTCCTTTTGAGGTATGTATCTGTGATACAACAGTGATCACAATTTCAGGGGTACCATATATATTTATTGGTCTCACTCCTTGCAACAGGACATCCAGAGTTGGTTTTGCATATTTAAGGAGAGTGGTTCAGCACAAACCAAGAGAATGAATTAATTAGATATTAGCAGATTTCTTGCTACTAAGCTTGGGTACTTTATTGATGTCCTGTTATACGTGAATTTTACTTCTTGTAATCAGACTCTTATTTTTGTAGTTTAATCTGTCTTTTTAAACTTTCATCATAGCTCATTTTCATTTAGTAGCCCCAGTGATATGCGACTTCACAATGATTTCTCTCAGCATGTACATTACCTGCCTCCTCAGCCTGCTGTCATACTGGTGCAGTTAGAAGCATTTTGTTTAGTTCTGTAAAAATTCTGTCTTTTTAGCTGTGGGGCAGCTTTGTTGGGATTTTCTTCTCCCTTCAATTTCTTTTTCTTGTAGGGGGTACTGAATAAAGGGGAAGCTCTTTAATTTTCATAGGAAACCATCACCCAAGTCTGTTGGGGAGGCTGCAGCCTTTTGAGGTGTGGCTTTGTACCCCATTCATACTGCTTTGGTTTCACAGAGCTGGTGTATACATTTAGAATTTCCTATACGATTGCAGATCTGAACTGCAGAAAGAATATTACGTGCATTTTTACTTTGGAGTTAACTAATAGAACTTCATGAATGCAGAGTTTAAAATGCCCCTCATGTGGTGTTGTGCCCTTTTGGACCTTTGGGTTCAGGGATGTTCATACTACTGACAATAAAAGAAAGGGTTGAGGTCTCCCAGCCCCTCTCAGAGCCTGTGAAGCTTTCAAAACTTATCCCAGCATGTTATGTACAGGTTAGCGTGCAGGATGATAGGGTTTGGTATTGTATCTGGAAAAAACTGAGTAAGGTTTGACCCTCCCAGTTTTAAGAATGATTAGAAGGAATACCCGTGGCCTTTCATTAGTACAAGTTTCTCTCTAGATCTTTTTGTTGCCTGCCCAAAGGTTCTTATGTTGTGTAAGGTGGATATGAGTGAAGATTAAAACAAGTGGTTTAAGGGAGTGGTAAAGTTTGGGGTTATATCTGGTGAAGTATATGCTGTATTGAAATTTAGTACATCTGGAATAAGGTCCTGTGTGGTACAGTTCAGGTAAATTCACACACCCTTTCACGCTGCTCTTGCCCTCTCTGTTGTGCCACAGGGTGTGTTCCTGGTGTTGAGCAGGTAAGTTTGTATCTGTCCAAATTTGACTCTTTATTTCCTGGGTTTTAGGTGCTTCTGTTGCTCAGTTTGGCATTGCTGGGAAAGCATGAGATGCTGTGGCTTTGCTTTGCAGTTTAGAATGGGTCTTATGTCACATTTTATTTAACCCTTCCCCATTGATAGTCACTGCAGTTAACCTCCATAACAACTAAAATGACCCAGTACTTAATATGTAATATTTTTATTTAATACTTTTATCTAGCAACATCAATCATGCATCTTCCTTTCCATTTTATAAACACAGAATTTTCTCCTCATTCTTTATTGTTTTGTCATCAGGGGAAGCAGGAAGGCTTTGTTTCCAGGTTCTGGTGAGACCAGAATTGCATATACAGTTGTGTTGGACGATATGTCTGGGTCAGTGCTCTATTTAAGTATTGTTCCTTTCCAAAAATTAATGCATTTCCATCCATTAGCAAGTGTCCTTTACTCTCCTTTTCAACAAATGTGATTTGTAACTCACATTTACTGAAGTTTCCAGACATTGGATTTTCTACAGTGTGTGAATTTTGTTTCTGTTATGAAGTTCATGTTGTGATAATGGCAGATTGAATCAGTAATTTTGCAGACATGTTGAGTTTTTGTTGATGAAAAGAGATTGACACGCTGTGCTGTATGGAAACAGAGCTATTTGTTCTATTTAAAGACTAGCTGACTAAGCCTTTTTTCTAGTTTTCATATTTGTGTAGATTTTAATGCTCTTGTTGTAGACCTATGGCTGGGAGGGCACAGGGCTAAGAATAAAGTTATTTTCTTCAAAGAGTTATTGGGTGCCATGTACTTTATGGGGGAAAATGTTAAGTAATTGAAAGGTTGAGAGATTTTTATTCCTGTTTCTGCTTCAAGAGAGAGAAAACAAAAGATATTGACTGTCAGTTGGGGGAAGGTAAATCTAGGGCTTTGTCTTGCAAATGTGTTACTCAAAAGGCACTGAATTTAAATTGTTTAACTTTAAATCCTGTGAATTACAGCAAATTACAGAGTCATCTGAGTAGTCTGCTTGATTTTTTGAATGTTTGCATAAGAAGCTTATTAAATGCAACTATAATCATAATCTGATGCTCTGTTGCAATAACAATTGACGATAATTTCATAAAAAGGAGCTAGGGCATTGTTGCTCATAGCATGATTACTTAGAATATAAGAAACATTCTCCAAAGATACTCCTATTATTGTGATTTTACCCAGTTAGAAAATAAGTATTTTTACTCTAAGGTCATAACCCATTTCGGTTCTCAGAATTACAGATTTTAGAAGTCGAGGCCGTATTTAGTTAGACCAAATGAAAAGTTACTTAATTGAAGTTAAACTGTAAACACTGTCTTATTGAAAAATGTTGCAGAGTTCTTGGAAGCTTACTTTTTCTTACCTGATCTGTTAGATTTTTATGGAATGGAAACAATACCTAAAAAGTATTACTATACTCTGCTTGAGTATTCATAGCATTTGTAGAGCTGGGGTCAGGAGTTTCTTGTTGGGTTTTTTGTCCCATTTCATGATACTTTGCTGCTCCAGTTTTGTGAGATTTTAGTATAGAATTATTTGCTTTTTGAAAGAAGGAAAAAAAAAAAAGAGGAGGGAGGAGTTAAAAAGCCATGATAGAAGTATGGTAGTTTTTTCAACCTAAATTGCTTTTGGCACTAACTGAAAAATTGCAGCCTCCAACATAATTCTCACGTCTTCATAGCTTTGGAATAAAATTCTGGAGGTTTGATTGGTTATATGTAATTAATAATTATTTGTTACTGGTTTGTTGATTTTAAGTTTTTTAAATAATTCAGAAGAGATGTTTAATTGTACATTCTGAAAGTAACCCAGTACAGGGTAAGCACTGATAACCTGGCTAATGACTGGGACTTGTCTGGTTTTATAGCTATAGTCAGTATCTGCAAGTGTTGATCTGTTTCAATTACTATGATTTTTATTGATTATGAAATTCAGCATGTTGTTTAAGGACCATAAAATAAGCTACTGAAGTTCTGTTGGTAAGGCTAAAAGTAGTTTTACTGGTTTTGGGTCCCTTACGACAAGAAAAACATTGAGGTGCTGGAGTGTGTCCAGAGAAGGGCAGTGGAGCTGGGGAAGGGTCTGGAGCACAAGTCTGATGAGGAGTGGCTGAGGAAGCTGTGAGTGTTTAGCCTGGAGAAAAGGAGGCTCAGGGGAAGCCTTGTCACTCTCCACAAGTGCCTGAAAGGAGATTATAACCAGGCAAGGGTTGGTCTCTTCATCCAGGTAACAAGTCATAGGACAAGAGGAAATATCCTCCAGTTGCACCAGGGAAAGTTTAGACTGGATATTAGGAAAAAATTCTTCACTGTCTTGTCAAGCACTGGAACAGGCTGCTTGGGGAAGTGGTGGAGTCGCCATTCCTGGAGATACGTAAAGGATGTGAGTTGGGGCACTCGGGAACATCATTTGGACTTGGCAATGCTGAGTTAATGGCTGGACTTGATGAAGGTTTTTTCCAATATAAATGATTCTGCGATTCTTTGATTTTCATTTAAAGACTTTACTTTCTACAGTCTTCATAAAATAGTAATAGTTAATCCTGAAATTGTGTATGCCTCATTTTATGCAGAGATAAGTTTAAGATATTCCTGAGACTTAATGCTGCTCTTTGTGTGTGTGTGTGTTTCTTTATGGCCATGTTAGTTTTAGAGCACTCAAGCTATGAATCTTTCCAGTTTAGCTAATGTGGATAAGCACACCTTTGTAGGAGAAGGTTGAGGAAAGAGGAAGCTGAGAGAAAATTAATGGAGGAGATGTTAAGTACAAAGACAGGTCCTACAGGACATTGAGTAACCTAACCTGGCTGCTTTGCTACTGAGAACATGAGGCTAAGCCAAGGAAGAGGGAGGGTCTGATGGCTTATTGTTCAGATATCCAGAAAAGAGTTGAAATGTGTTAGTGTACTCAAAACTTCTAAAAAAACAAAGCAACTTAGCATTCTGTGAACAGACACTTTTCAGTGAAGTTACAGAAAATAAATTGGACATAATGGCTCTAAGTCTCCTAAAGCAAGTCTGTACTTGACAAGTGTTGCTTTGCTGTTGGGTATAATTATTTTGTGGGTCTGTGGCTGCCCTGCTCTGAGGTGAATGTGACAGCTGTTGTAAGTGGGATTTGTATTAATGCATTAAACTCAAGTGCTTTTAAATTAGTGCTTTTGAAACATGACACTGGTGAGCATAAAATTCTGTGCAGGGGTTTGCCTAAAACAATTAGATGCTCTCCATTATTAAAGCCCTCTAGATCTGCCTTGAGCTGATGTGGTTTATTAATTATTACATGTATATAAGGTTTTAAACACTATTTTCAGGACAGAATTTGATGGGGTGGGTTTCTTTAAATAATAATTCAGGTATACAGATCAATTCTGTTTAGTTGCTTTGATGGACATACTGTTCTGTGATGCAGCTGTAGTTTTACTTTTCTTCTTAGAGTTTTGAAGTGAAGAAGATCCTTGGGATGAAGCCCTGTGGTGCTGGCAACTTTTCTGTTACACGTTACCATATTGCTGAAGCTTTGGTGGACAGAGAAGTGGATGGAGAGCAGGTGATTAACTCCAAGTGTTTGTGCTGCAGTCTTACATAGGTGTTCCTTTACATTGCATACATTGTCTGGATATCAGCTGTTGGATTTTCTAGAAGCTGTTTAAAGATACGAACTTGTATAAAGCAGCTTACACTACTCACTAAAGAGAGTCTCAGATAGGAAGCCTTGTAAAGCCTGTTACGTGCTCTGTCACTTAGGGGATCACACCTGGCAGTCCCTTGTGAACAGGCTATTTTACTGGAAGGTGAGATCACAAGACTGGTATAATGTTCAAACACCCAAACTGGAAGACTTGTGGCTCATGCTGAATTGATAGCTGCTGTTGCCCCGTTTTTCTCTCTTCCCTTCTTTTCAGCAATGTACTCCCAGACTTGCCTTGTATTTGCCTTGCTTATTTGGAATGAATTTTTTTTTCCTAAGTATATTTTTATGTTAGATGAAGATTTTTCTTTCAAGAAAGTTGCAGATTGTTTCTGGTTTCCCAAACGAGATGAAAGATACATCAGAGATATTTTCCCCCTTGTTTAAAGCAAAACTACGAGCATAGAAGTACTCAGTCTGTAATGTTGACCATATCATTCATTTTACCATGTATTGTAGAAAAAATAACCACTCTGTGATAACAAATAAATAATATAAATTATTGTCTCTGATACAGTTCGAAATTGGAACACTTTGTCACCTAAACTTACAAAATACGTAACAATTAATTTTTTTTCCAAAGGTAAAAAATTATTTTGGTCCTGCTTGCAAGATAGACATTCAAGGATGTTCATATGGCATTATATGTCTTTAAGTGCTTTTGCTGCAGAATTATTCATTTATTTACTTATTGTTACATATACTTTATACTGTCAAAGAACTTTGTGAACTAAACTACTGATTGATTGCCAGCCAGATGCTCATTTAGCTGCTGAAGAAGAAGGAAGACGTTTGGAGGAACTGCACAGGGAGGCAGAGAGGGAAAGAAGAAAGCAGCTTGAAAAGGCACATATTAGAGGAAGTCATGCCTTGAAGAAGATCCAATTGGCCAAGGTAGGCAAAGCAGTTATGTCTGTTTTTAATGTCAGAACCACCACTGTTATGTAGGTTGTAGGTAGGTGATTAATAAAGGAATTACACTTACAGGAGGGAGATTGGTGGACTAAATAAAGTTTGCAGAATGTCATTGAAAAAAAAAAAGTCAAAATCTGTTTGCTTGTTTTGGCATCTAGAAGGAGTGAATATCCTCTTAACTTTTGTTATCTGAATGTTTGGCCAGCTATTAACCAATAGGTAGTAGTCAAGCAAAACTTTTTTAATATGTAATGAGTTCTGCTTTTCCACATTAGCTTTAGTTGGAATTGGTCGTTCTATACTTCAGGGGAAAATATTATTGCTAAGGAGGTAATAAAGTTTTTTTTATTTTTGAAAACTTTTCTAAGTTTTGACCCAAAGACTGATATTCTGTTAGTGTGCAAGTCTGGCAATGTTGAAATAGTTTTCTTTAAGGAACAAAAATTAAACTACTGAGAAAAATCTTTGTACTGAGATCCGCAATCCAAAAATTTTTGCGGTCTGATAGCTTCGCTATCAGTAGTTTTGTTTGCTAGAAAAAGAAATGGGGATTTCTGGAAATATTACTGGTGCTCCTTAAATTAACAGAAAAAAGAAAAAAAACCCCAACAATTTTTTTTTTTTTTTAAATTGCTCTCACATATATTCAGTGTGCCAAAGAGTATTTAGTTTGCATCTTAAAAAGAAGCAACTGCTGAATTACACACTAGCAAAAGTCACTTGACAAAAGAAATACTCATTTACCTTATAAAACAGGAAGTTTAATTATCTTGAGGAAAGTTGGCCTGCAGGTGTGGAGTCTGATCCTTTATTTAGCATCACATCTCCTAGGTAGTATTGATGACTTCTTTGTCTAAAGGGCTGATACGGCCTTCTCCTGTGGGAACACTTTCTCCCTAGAAAAAGATTAACTCTGAACATTAACCAAACATCATGGTAACCAAATGGAAGCATTTTGTATCAGTCTTGATGCGTGGCTGTCTGAATGTGAATACTGAAGGTTTGTGTTATCACTTCTTCATTCTTGAAGGACAGGGAAAGACTCCTGGAAGAACTGGAGCAAATGCACGCTCTGGATCGGATGCGCAGGAGACAGGTTGTTGCCCAGATGCCACCTCAGCTTTCAGTGCTACCATACAAACGCATGGAAATAAAAGAAGAATGGCAGAGAGAACTGGAGTCTGCATTTGAAGAAATGTGCAGTGAAGACAGGAGTAAGTTCTTTGTTGGAGGTTGCTGAATCTGGTACCCAGTAAAGGAGAGGCTGCTGCAGCTGCCTCTTCCCAGGTGCAGCTGGTAGCGAGGCTGTGTGTGTATTCATAGTTGGCACGCACACAAACAGCCTTCCAGGGCACATCCAGGCCAGCAGGAAAAACACAACACTCACATTAAGTACAAACAGCACAAATGGCCTCTTTCTGTTTACTGCTCTGGCTGACCAACATAAAGGCCTTTTGTGGGATGTATATCTGTTGTGTGGTATGGATCCCTCCAGTAGTTGATCTTAGAGACAGTCAGTCTATCCAAGAGTTGTCTTCTGTATCCCAGATCTCTATCTGCTACACTACAGATCCTTCTCAGGTCTTAGACATCCAGTCTTGTGTCCAGTGATTCATGCTGGAGCCTGGAACCTTAGAGTTACCTCTCATACTCATGTATGTACTCAAATGCACATGTGCTCAAATATGTGCTGTGGCTCACTTTAGACACTCGCTCTTACCTGGCTCTTGATCCTTAGTCTTCCCAGTTCTGGCTGCTGGGCATGTGAACCCCCAAGATCTGCTGCTCCACTCCAGTTGTTACTGCACAGACCCAGCTGGGCATGTGAGTGTATGGTCAGACATGCACATCCTATGGATTCCTGTGGGAACTGACTTTATATACTGTCTACCCAGTAGCTGACCCTGGATCCTCTTGTAGTCTTAGAGATGCACACACATGTGCTGGCAGGTTTCTTAGGATCCCTTCCTCTCCTCTGCAGCTGGTTTGAATGCTTGAATCTCCTGATCCCTCTCCTAAACAGCTTGTAAGCCCCCTGGCCTCTGCAGTACCCAGCCCAGGCTTGCAGCTGCCTGATGCGTAGCTCCTAAGCCTCTTACCATTCTTGCTAGCTAGTCTGGCTTGTGATTTGCTAGCCACTGCATGCTGATAGTCATACCCACCCGAATGCACTCATTATGGCCTCTGCAGTTGGCAATGCTCTAGACACAGGTGCACCTGTGACTGCTGGTCCCTGTTCCAGTTACTGGCCCTTACATATATATGTACACACATGCCTGCAAAACACAGCGTTCCTTACACAGAAAAACAGCTACAGGTGGATTTTAGTGAGAAAACAGAACAGACTGTCAGGTACAGTGCATGGGCAGGCAAGTGGACTGACTGTCTCATTTTATCTCACTGTTTTTACACTTCTATCTCATAGTTCTTCTGCCCTGACTAACTCGATCCTTTCCTTTCCCTGCCTTGGGTTCCTCCTCTAAGTATATGTAACAAGCATAAAATTTCAAGATGATCTTCCCCTGTGTCCCACATCCCTTGTAGGCAGTAACTCCCTCAGTCAGTAAAGTGATCATAAGGGAATTCCTGTTGTGCAACCTTCTGGGATTTCACACCTGGACTGTGCAATCACTCTCCTGTGGCAGCCTTGTGAACAGCCAGGTCAGGGTATGTCTTTTCCCCAGTGAAGTTATTTGGATCACGTGTAATTTTTCTTGTGAGCTGCTTTTGGTGTAAAGCTGAGCTTTTCATCACATCAACTTTTATTTTGAAAAACATAGCATATTCTAGTGGAAACTGCTGTGGGGGTTCTGAATGAATAGATGGCTATTGATCTAAACAGTTTTGAATCTTGTCTTTTTGGCAGGAAAAAAAAAAGCTGGATTAAATTTGTTGTGAAATAACCTATGGGGATTTGTGTGTGAGTGTAGTCTTTTAATGTTGTTTGATTTGTATTCCAAATGGTCATTTTATTTCATTGTGCTCTTTTAATTAGACATGAAAGGAGAGCTGATTCTGCAGTTTGAGCCACAACCTTTGCCAGCCCCTTCTGACAGAGCTCAAGATAATGATCTTGATATCTCCTTGGAGCATGAATCTGCTTGTGACACTCAACCAGAGCTTCCTTGTGATACTCAACGAGAATCAGGACATGTGATAGAAGAGGAGGTCCCTAATGAACCAGAAAGTAAAACTTCTAAACTGCATATTTAAATTAAGCCTTTTCATTTTATATTAGAAAATATTAGTCTAGTATATCAAACAAGTTTTAGTAATAAGTAAAATGCCTTAGGTAGTAAAACTTCTTAATGTGTGTAAAATAATTCAGTACAATTTGATTTATGTTTAGCATAGAGGATAATACCCTAATGATTATTAATTTAAAAATGAAAATGTGTGCAGAGACAAGTTACTGCTTTTCTCTTGCAGGTAAGAGAAAATTTTGCTAAGATTAAAAAAATACACCTAAGGTATTTGTCCAACTCTGTAAGCAATAAAAAAATAGTGTTTTTTAATGATACAAAGATATTTATTACCCAAAACTCTTAACATTCTTAACATATCTATTCTTTATAGGGCATGAAGAAGGAAAAACTTGCCAACCTCGATCAAAACTTGCCTTAAAGAAACTGTTGAACAAAATTAGAAGCCAAAAAGAGGAATGGACATCAAAAAGTGAGAAAGCGAGTCAAAGTGAATTTGAAACTATTGAATCAGGCACAGTTGCTAGTGAAAAGAGACCATTATGTGATTTGGAACTTAACAAGGAGCAGCAGAAAAATACAGTGTCTGAAGCCAAAGGTACATACTTGCATCAAAGTTTGTTGTGTAGGAGCAAAAAGACTTTTACGGGGGGCTGTGACAGTGACTGTGACAAAACTGTTTAATGAGCTTTCAGTGTTAAATATTTTGTCACTCTGAATGAAAGTACAATTTCCTGTCTGTGCCCACAAGGCATTGTGGATTTGTTGAAACTACAAATAGGAGAGGTTTTTTGCTCTTATGTCCAACTTGTCCGTTAAGATCTTGAAGAGAACAGATGTCCAAAATACATTTCTCTTTTAAATCTCACTTAAATTGTTGTCACACTTCATATTGCTGTACCTTCAATGGATGTTTGCCTCCAGGGATAGAATTGTCAGTGCAGGATTCAGCATTGAAGTTCTGTACCTGTTGAACTGGAAAAGCTGCTTTCTTTGGAGATTCATAGCTATAAATGCCCAAGACAAGCATGAGCTGATGAGTGGAGTTTTTTTCTGCTTTTAGGCACCATTCCGAAAAACCTTTTTGTAAAATTGTAATTTATAGCAGTTAGACACTGCAATTTGTGTTTGATAGCCAAATCATCTTGGGGTTACTTCCCATGTCTGTCCTTGGTGCCCTCCTGGTTAGGCTAATGCTGAATTGATGGCCTTGTATGTAGAATGGGATTTCTGAAGTTTTCAAGTGATCAAGTTGTGGCATGTGGTTTTGGGTTTTTTGCTTTTGGGTTATTTGTTTTCATACGATGCTTGTTTTTTTAAACAAGATAAAGTGATTTAGTTCCATCATGTACATGGCTATGCCAACATAATGCCTGGGGACTGGAGAGTGCAGCATGAGTGAAACCATGCCTTGGGGAAAATGTGCTGCTATTTGAAGTTAACAGTACAGGATTGAGGCTTGCTTTTTGTGCAATAGCCAAATGTTAGATCATTTGCCCAGTATTGCCAGTTTTAGATCAACTTTGTTCCAAGAGGTTAATGTGGCTTTTGATTCTTCAGGATGGTCTTGCTCTTGGCCTCCCAAGTAATATTAGAAGTAATTTTCAGTCCCATTGAAGCTGGGATATTACAGTGTATTCGAGAAAGACACACAAAAAAGGGCTATTAAAGACTGAAATAATACAAAAAATTATTTTCGAGCTTATGGAGACAGGCAGAGTAGGAGGATATAGATCTTTTCAAGAGCAGCTTATGCACTTTGTTTAGAGGTATTGGGAGACTGTAAAGAAGATCCAAGGTTCGCTCTGACTGCAATTACAGTAACATGTATATTTTAGACTCTATGAAAATGTTGGAAAATACAGTTGCAGATGAAAAGTCAGTTCTAATCCATCCTCAAGAACAAGCAGCTAAAATCAGAATGGAAGAGGCAGCTAAAATAAGAATGGAAGAGGAGAGACAGAAGTGGGTAAGTGTTTGTGTTTATTCTTACCTCAGTTGTGGTGTAAAAAAAAGATTTACACAAGACTTAAAGATATTTTAGGTTATACAGCAGCTATAGGTACTCTTAACATTTGAACTTTTACTGTAACATTTTCTGTATTTCTCAAAAGTGATGAAGCTTGTAGCTGGAATTTGCAATAGAGTGGAAACCCCCAGTTTCTTCAAATCTAACAGGTGCTGTAGGCAAGGGTAGTCTTGGTTAAATGAAAATCCCAGTTGTAAATTAATACTTTTGTTTTATAAAGGGAGGGTATAGTCAGCAATACATAACTCTGAAAACTTTATTTACCCTGTGTAATAATGTAGTAAAGTCTGTGGGATTGTGTTTAGAGTGGAACCTTAAGTAATTTTTTTTTTTGTTACCTAGGAAGCAAATGGAGAAAGTTTTTTGTATCTCTAGGAATACTATATTTGTCATATTTAGAAAATAATAGCTTTATACATTCTTTCATTATATCTGTTGCGTATTGTGGTTCACTGTATTTTAATTTTTGTTGTATCCCTAGAGACCTACCAGCTGTTACGTGGTGGTTTACCAATTTTTTAGAAAAAGTTGAATTTTGGATCCATGTGCAGCCTTCAGTTGTAGAGTTTAAGTTCGGATATCAAGGAAATAAAAATTTGCCAAAATAGTAATATTTTAAAAAAATCAACAAGCAACAGATTCTTTATGAAAGTGTGGCTGCTTTCTTTAACCTTCATCTCGTCCCGCTTTGCACCTGGCCAGGTGTATGTAGTTCTGTGTCCACATTAACTGTTCTCAGGTCCAGCATTTTCTCAGGTTGCTTTTCCTGACATCCCCATTCAGACTGTTATTAAAGGCTGTTGTCCACTTCATCTTTGCCAGTACTTGGAAATTTTTCTTTGCTTCCATTCTAAAAGCAGATATGCGGTTGCTAGGTGTGGATCTAAGTGAATTGTGGCTGATGGGTATATGGAAAGAGAACAAAAATAAGCAGACTACTTCAGAGGTTTATGGAGTGCTCTCAAAATGGTTATATGTTAGCTATTCCAGAAGCTTTTGTGAAGCTTGAATTAATGTTTAGATGTGCTGTACTCTGATGAAAAACTGAGTAAAATGCAAAATAGATTTTTCAAGTAACTTCAGGAGAAGGACTTCTTTTGCAGTCTTTGGAAAATGATAACATATCTTGAATGATTTTATCCATTTTATTAATTTGAGAACAGATAATAATGCAATAATAAATGGACTCAGGGATTGTTAGAAACATTGAGCCAGTAAAATAAAGTTATTCCTGTAGACTTTGGAACTGCTTTTAAAGGCCTGTTACAATTTGGAAATACATGTCACCAGCAATAGAATTTCTTCTGTAATTTGGAACAAAAGTTTGTGTGTGGTGGTGTGTGTGAGCAGTCTGGTTTCTTTGTCATTCAGTTCTATAGATTCCCCCTCATTTTTCTTTTGGTAGAATGAGGAAATAGAGAAACAGAAACAGGAGCAGCTGGCCTTGATTAAAAAAATTGAGGAAGAGAAAGCTCTTTTGGAGGCTGATTATCTGAAGATCCAAATGCAAACATGTTTGGAGCAGGCTAAGAAAAAAAAGGAAGAGGAAGAGCAAAGTCAGCTGGTGCAAAGCCACAGTCTCCATTCCACAGATCAGCAGAACCAAATGGAAGATGAGGTGAATAATTACGGAAAATTGTGTGTAGGTTTTTATTTACTATTATAATAAAAATAAAGAATGCCATTTACCAATTTTGAACTATTATCAGTTAAGACATTTTTTAGTTTTTAGGCTGTGAGTTAGAAATTTGTACGTATTAAAGCTTCTTTCTTCTAATGTATAAGCTTCTGGTTTTTAATCAAGAGGATGGTTGGGCACTGGAACAGCTCCCAGAGAAGTGGTCAAAGCACCAAGCTTCTCTTGAGTTCAGGAGAGTTTGGACAGTGCTCTCAGATACATGCTGTGACTCTTTGGGATGGTCCTGTGCAAAGTCCAGAAACTGGACTTTGATGACCTTGTGGGTCCCTTTCAACTCAGATATTTTGTGATTTTGTGGTTGTGACTTTTGCTGTTGTATTGTCTCTCTATGGTTCAAGGGGAAGCCTTGATAATAATACTTAATGTTAGTAAAACTGGTTATAGTCACATAATGATTGTGCATATAGACATAACCTTTTTCAAGAAGGTAAAAAAATCATAGTGGGAGAAAAAAGACAAAAATCTGCCTCTGTTTAAATCTCAAACAGCTGCTTAAAGAAGAGAAATTTATGGAGGATGTTGAAGGAAAGTAATCTTTTTATGTATAAAATCTTGCTTCATTTGCACAACCGGTTCTCTTTTGAGAGCCTGATTACCTTGGAAATGCAGCTACATTGGCTCATTGCTCCCTGAGTTTGCAGGGTATATTTACCTCTTTAGGCTGAGCTGCTGTAAGCACCATTGATTTCAATGGTGTGTGCAGAGAGGCTGTAGCTGTGGGCCATCTGTTCTAGAATCTCCTTTAGCTTCATTGCCTCAGGCTGAAATCTCACACACTTCAAACATGGTGGTACCCAGCAGCTCCTGTAAACTTAGGTGCAAGATCATACAGCTTAAGGTTGATGCCATAATAGTTTTCTGTGAGTTAGTTATATATGTTGTATATGTATTATTTTATTTTGATTAGACTGGAAATGTATCAGAAACCAGGAGTCCAGGAGAAGACAGTCATAGACAGACGATACATAATTTTCAACAACGCCTTCTGCAGCAAAAAAGGTAAGTGTCTTTATGAATGCAAAGTGTCTTTATGGAATGCCTGTTCAAAGTAATTTGAATTGCCTTGATTATTGAAATTGCTGTTTCTTTTTGCACTGCCTTGAAAAGATTAATGTTTTCGTTCTGTTCAGGTTGCACAAACAAACCATTGAAGAAGCTAGAAAGAATCTACAGGAGTATCAGAATACACTGAGGCAAAGGTACTTGTCTGCTTCTGAAATACCTCTGAGCACAAGGGAAACAAAACCCATTAGTTTAGAGCCTGTCTCAGAGCCACCCCTACAGATGCAAGGAGCACAGCCAACACAGTACCAGGCACCGGAACAAGTTCATGCCCAAGAGTATGTGCGGTCATTACCTGTGTTTTCAGGAGCAATGGGTATGTTGGAAAAACCATCTTCACAGAAGCAGCAAGAGCAAGTGCATAATATTTGTCCTGGAAAATCAGTGCAGTTTTCAGAAGCTTCAGAATTGAAGCATGGAGGGTTTCACTTGCCCTGTGACTATCCTTCACAGGAACAAGTAGGAATATTTGAAACTGCCAATAATCACATCAGAGAACTACTCCAATCCCATTTACCATCAGGGTCAGTCAGGAAGGAAGTGACTGCAGTAAGAACACACCCAGAAGCACACCAACAACACTTTATTATGTTGCCTGCAGAAAGTTCCTCTGAGTCTTCAGAAACAGTACACTCTAAAGAGTTACCTCAGAAGATATCTAACTGTCCAAACAAGACAGAAGCTGGAGAACAGCATCCATTTAAGACATCCCTCATGCCAGCCACAAAGAGATCAGCCTTGTCTGATGCTTTAGCCTATCAACAGGGATCTGTAGAGAGCAGCAGCAAAACAAGCCCTGATCAACCTCTCAAGCTTTCTGAACCCACAGTTCTAGCACATGAAGAATCTAAAGTCCAGGGAGTTGAGAAATTCTCAGTATCAAAAGCAGGAGATGTATCTTCGTTAAATTATTCTGGTATACTGAGCTTAAGGGACAGAGTGTTGGCCTCATCAGAAAGCATCCAAGCTCAGCAAAAGTATTTGAAAGAATTGCAAGAGCAGCTAGATGCACAAAGAGAAGCTCTTCTTTCTAAACAGAGAATACAAGAAAAACTACTTTTACAGAAGCAAGATAAATTGAAGGAACAGATGCAGAGACAGCAACAGGCTTTGAAAGAGCTTCTAAACAAGCAGGTAAGCTTTAGATACACTTTGCATGGGTAATCATCAGTAGATGACCAAACCTACAAGTCAATGCCACAGTGTACCCCATGGAGTGTTGATAGTTTTAGGTGATTTCCCATAATGAAAATTTTAATTAGGACTTGTGATTTGTAATCAGTGCTTTTCCTCTGTAAAGCTCCAAGAGCAGTTTTAATAAGTCTAACAGAAATACTGTGAAGGTCTGTGCTTGGCGTCTGAACATAATGCCTATTGAAATTGTTGTCTGAAATACCTTTAGGTAGAATAGTCTTCATATCTGTAAATGCACCTCTATGTGTAAAGCAGCCCTTATATTAAAAATATACATACTTAATACCTGAAAGGATATCATAAGCATCTTGAATAAATCATTTTTAAAGCTTGTCTTTTTGTGTGAAATTGGTTTGGCTGCTGCAGTCTTGAGTTGTAATTTGCTTGTTTCTCAGTAACAGAAGAAAAATCCAAGTTTATTTTCGAGCTTATAAAGAGCCTCCTTTTGTCTCTCCTTGTGTTTTTGGTTTTTTTCTTTAACAGAAGCCATCTTAGAAGAATAACTGTTCACAGTAGTTCCTGTCTTTTGATTTTGCAGTTTCCAAGCAGCTAAAATTCTGGAATTCAGGAGCTGGAAAACTAAAAGAGACTTTTCAGGAATTGTTCTTGTTAAAAATGATGAGTACTCGATCTAATCTCACAAAGGCCTTGAAAATGTAACTAATTGTGTTTTAGCACATGATGTTTGTAGAGCTCAGTAAAATACCTTTATGTCCAAATGTTTTTGTGAACTAAGCAGATCTGTCTGGTGTCCTGCATAATTGAAGTACTTTCTCAATGTACTCAATATTGTCCTGCATGGAATACACACAAGAGAAAATGCTCTTTTGATAAATGAGTATAAATACAAACTTACATAAAACTGCTTCCCCCCTTCTCAGGTGAGATATATGTGCCCAAATGAAGAAATGACAGAGGCACAAAAGTCTGTCAGGATTAAGATAACTGACTTCTTCCAAGTCTCAGAAAACTACCAGCAAGAGAATTGTGCCAGGAATAAATTTCACGGGAGTGAAACAATTTCACGGTGCATTGGCCCAGTTGAGCAAACTGGTAAGGCTGTTATGGTGTTTTTCATTATAATTTTTATTGCTTTACAGCTGAGATGGAGTTCTCTTCCATCTCTCCGACTTAATTTGAAGAGTGTGTGTGTTTGTACACATATTATTACAACATAGTAAACTTTGTTTTACAGAACAAGCTGAGAAAGTTCTCTGTAGAGAGCAGAAATGGAGATCTTCCAAACCACCAGTGACAAAAGTCAAGTTAAGGCTTGGTTTGGAACAACATGAACTTAGTGTTATACCAGAGGTAGACACACCGAAGAGTTGCAGCCTCTCCTTGGCAGGTAATGTATAAAATTTAATGCTGTTATGAGTAATAGATAGGAGGAATATAATCTTTTCTGAAGAATCTTTGAGATTTTTAGGAAATTATAGCTGATACTTACTTGCCTTTCTTAAAGTATAACTTATACTGGCAAAGTTGTAGTTCAGAAAAGTTTTCTTCTCTCAGTGTCTGTCTAGAAAAACTCAATTTAAACAAAATGTAAACACCAGAAAAAGAAAATTGAGTTACTCCATGACCTGAGCTCCCTGTTGGTATTTCTTTTGGGCAGGATTTGTGTTAATAAGTAGTTGTACAGTAACTCCAAAGAAAAGTTGGTTGATTTTGTTTAAAGGTTTACTTTTTGATTATACCAAGAAAGTGACTATGAAATCTTTCAAGTAAGGTGTTAGTATCAAGTTTCTACAGAAACTTTTAGACCATCTTTTTAAGTTGTTTTTTCTAGTTAAAAAACACTCATTGCAAAAATTTGGAGAGCAGTAAAAATTTTATGAATATATTTGTTACAGTCTGCTGGCAATGCTTTGCAGTTCTCTCTAAGGAACATTATTTAACAGGTACCACACATCCATGTTTTCTAAAGGTAAACATTTAAATTTTTTTCAGTGTCTCTTTACATTTAAAATGTAATGCATATTTTACAAAGCTTTTTATGTTGTGTTCTTAAAAAGGCTCAGCAGAACAATGTGAGTAATTACAGGCCAGTCAGGCTGGCATTCCTTGCAAAATAATGAAACAGCTGATACAGGGCATCCTTAATTAAAGAAAAATAATTAATGCTAGTCAGCATCAGTTTATGCAGAAGAATTCTTGTTGGACTGATTTGATATCTTGATTAGATAGCAAGTTCTGTTGGGAAAGGTTTTGATGTAAGAATATATTTAGGTTCTCCAAAGCACTTGGCTTAGTAACTTAACACTTAGCTGTATAATACTGTTATGATCCATAGGTGATTAATTCTTGTATTATCAAACCATTGGTAATGGTTGGTAGTAAAAACTTTTATTTGATTGGGTGGCCAGAAAGGGCTGTTTTGTGGGCTGGATTGTAGAGAAAAAAATCTTTAAACCACAGCAGAGAAGTTGTATTGCCTGTGGATCTGGAGAAGTTACTGCAAGTTTTCTTGGATTTGCTGTGTGAAAAAATTTGTTTGAGATTTTTTTGAAGAAATACTGTGGTGGAGTTAGGAATTAGTTTTTGAGAAGTCTATGACCTGCATAATCTTTCAGCTTCTATAGTACGTATGTATAATGTGTAATGATGTGATATGGCTAAATTCATTAAAATGGAGACCATAAAAATTCAGCAGTTTATTTCTGTAGAATAGAATGTGCCTCTTAATGTTCCTCATGAAGTGCAAAACACTTCCTTTTTATACCTAAACTTCTTACAGGTGTTTTAAATTCAGGTAAAACAGATGATGGTACTGGAGAAATTTCTCAGATTTCGACCTCTGGGGAATTTGCATGTGTGAAACATCACAGTCATGCTCTTCGTGAAGTTGCTTTTCCCTCGGGCATAACAAACTATGAAGGAAAAGCCTCCAATGGAAGTCCAAGGCAAAGTAGTCCATCAGGAAGATTATTACAAGAGTTGCTGAAGATGGCTGCTGAAACTTCATGTGATTCAGGTGAGGAAATCTTCTCCCTTCGAGAACGCCATTCAGCATTGCTGATTTTGCTGCTCTTTATTTGTAGAATATGATCTGTTAAAGAACATGCCAGGGTTATTTAATGCTATTGAATTTTGAATGTAAAAGTGTTTCAAGAAGCACTTGTTTCAGAATGAATGAGTTTTTATCTATTGGGTGTTTTGTGATCTGTTACCATTCTGGTAACAAGTCCACATTGCAGGACACTTCGTTGCTGGTCAACAGTTTCTTGTCTGGGGCATGTGCTTTTGACCTGTAACCTTTAGAATTGTAAATGTTTGTAGGTATTCAAGGTGGGAACCTACTTTGGGCAGACCGCTGGTGTTCTGGATTCAGTACCCAGTGATTCTTGTATTGATACAAAGGAAATCGGTGCTTAACAAGACCTCTGGAGTGTTAATGTGTTGATGTAGACATCCACTGAAAGATCAGTGTGTATAATAAATTACTTAAAAATATGGTTGAGATAAAAAATAGAAAGCTGGAGTCATCGTCAGCTCAAAAAACTTTGAAAGAATCATGTCTTAGGTGTGACAGACACAAAAATTGAGAATTGTAGAATATTTCAAATTTAAAGACGTATAAGGTTCATAGAGTCTGACTCCTTGCTTCTCCCAGGATTACCTAAAACTAAACCACTGCCCAGTGCTCCTTGAACTCTGATGGCCTTAGTGCTATGATCACTTCCCTGGGGAATGTGTCCCAATGACCAACCACCCTCTCAGTGAAAAACCTTTTCCTAATGTCCAATCTGAGCTTGCCCTAATGCAGCTTCATTATTTCCTTGTGTCCTATTGCCTTGTTTAGTGTCAGGTAATTATTTTGTATCTGCAATTTCTATTTAATTAGGAAGTTGTAAGCTCACAGTGTATTAGCCTTGACTATCAGCTTGTGAGATTAACAGAATGCTAGAGCTGAGCCAGACACCTGGCATTCTCAAGTAGCTGTGACAGCTCTCCTGTCTAGGAAAGGTCTGTGCATAGCCAGTATTCAAGAGAGGTCCATTCTGCTTTGACCTTTTCTACTAGCCATCATAGGCTTTTCACATGCTCCACTGAATATGTCAAAAGGAGCAGCAGTGTAATACTGTAAGGACTGCTTTAGCTCTATTCATGTCTGTCTCTGAAGAGCTTTTATTGAACAAGAACATCTTTGAGGATAGGCCATGTTCATAGGTGGCAGAGTTATTCTGATTCCATAAAATAAAACAAGTTGTTTTGGTTATCAAGAAAAAGGTTTTTTGTTAGAAAGTTTTGTGAACGTTCAAAATAATTTTGTTACAGGGACATTGAAACCTACTAAGCATATTATGGGTAGCTTGACTGGCTTTATAAAAGAAAAAATATTACTAGTTTGTAAAACATTCACTAAAGCAATTTGAAGCTTATTACAGTACAGTTTTCAGTATCCATCTAAAATATTATTGGAGCTGCAGAGGAGTTCTCAGTAACTTGGCAGCTTTCATATGCCTGTTGTTACAAGCAATACAGCTATGTAGTATGTGTCTCCTGGTTTTGCTAGAAATTTCATCACAGGCCCTAAGCTTTAATTTTTCATTTCATTTGCATTGAGACATCATTTCCAATTCAATCGAATTTCCTTGGAATTGGAGTTGTTTTGAATAAGTACATATAAGCTCATTTTCCTTCAGCTGTTTCTTTATTTCTCAGAATGCCCCTTTTGAAGTATATCTATCTTTGAACTTAAATTATATGAAAACATTTTGTCTTTTAACAATATTTGAAGAAAAGACTTGTATTTTTCTGAGCAAGTTGTAGAACCGTTGCTGGAGCAGCTGTTACCAAATTAATATATCTTGGTGTAGTGCTTTTTTACATTATAGACTATTGTATATGAACAATGCAATAGTTTATATAAGAGGATTAGGAAACTTTATGTGAACGTCTACATTAAAAGGAAAAACCCCAAAGCTTTCTGTGATTATATGTTTAAGAGGATTGCCCTCTTGAGCAGATCAGCAACCAAAAGTGCCAGCAATAATCTTGAAAACATGTAGGCTGTGAGGCTCTCTCTGGTACTTTCAGTAACTAGTGTGGTATTTCAGCAAGAAAATCTACAGTCCCTTGCACTTTAAATACAGAGTTTCTGAAGGGAAAATTTAAGGTTCATTTTAGGTTGTTGCTTATGTTTTTTATTTTATTTTATTTTATTTGGTTTTTAAATATTTTTTGCTACTTGATTCTTACCAGAACATGTTTGCATTTTTTTCATGTTTTCAAGATGTAATTGTATCTCTGCAGGTAAGAGCAATTGAGTTCTTTGTGTGATCCTTGACCTTGTTCTTTGAAGTAATGTTCTTGCTGGTTTGAACCTTTGACCAAATAATAGAAGTCTTTAAAACTTAGGAGTTATACTGCTTTCATGACTACAGAACCACTAGATGAGTACAAATCCCTAGTCACTGCTTACATGCTTTTTCAAATCAGAAATAAAAGATGAAAAGAGAAAGTTGAAGTTGGTAAGTCTGCTTTTTACATGCAGATGTATTACCAATAGAGGTGAGTTTCCTTTGATAGGAGAGTTGCCTTGGGTAACAGGCAGTTTTTTTGAAAAGTCTGTAGTAAGCTGCCTATATAATTTGCCTCTCAAATTTCAAGGCAGCCATGTCTGTAAAATGGGTCTTAAGGACTGCTTGTGGTTAGGTGGGGATGAATTCCTGTGCTCAGTACTGAGTGGTTGCAAGTGCTACTGACCAGCTGGTTGCAGCCAGAGGACAGGTAACTGCTGAAGTAATGTTGCATTGAGTGCCACCAGTCAGTCTAAAATCTGAGTTGCTCTTTTACACGTCACTGATGCATTGATAAGATGAGTTGGGAACTTTGGACACTTGATGTTCTTTCCAATCCTATTTGGTTAGAATGGGCCAATAGAATTCAAACTGTTAACAGGGAATTGCAGAGTAACCCTGCAGATGAGACAGGCAGTTTGATAGGATAAACCTGATTTCCTTAGGAAGTCAGCCTGCAAGCAGTGACTAGGTTTGATACATACACCTCTTCCACGGTGTTCCTTGAGAGCACATCAGCAGGCTTGTCTCTCTGTATATCTCCAGTGGTTCCCTTGAGCAGTGTTCCAGATGTGATTATCTTCATGTGTTGCTACTCTGTACAGGGATGTTATTCCAAGCATGACTTTATTTTGAGATCCAGGCTGACCTAAGATTTCAGTTTATCTTTAGTAATCACAAATAGTTGTCTATAATTTGGCATTTCAACAGACTGTCTTTTCCATTACCAGTTTAGCTTTTGTTTGTTTCTTTGTTTGTCTACATGGCTGGATTTGGACTAATCCCTGTCTTAACGGAGTGGTTACATTTTCTGTAATTCGTCTTTCAAATTGCACCCTAAAATAATTGTTGCTGTTTTACTGCCATTCCTCCTGGGGGAAAAAAGTAGCATTTGGGTTATTATAGATTCGGCTTTTAAATACAAATTCTTTGTGACATTGTGGTGGCCAGAAAATTAAAACATTAAAGTCCCATGTCAATGTCAGGATGCTGTAAGGAACAAGAACCTTGCACTGTTATTTTAGAGGAGGGAGAGAAGACTGAAAAACCTTCTTTTATGAATCACCAAATACAGGATTTTTACAGATATTAATATAATAAAATCATGGGATATGGGCATGGATTTTTAATTAAATAATTTGGTTTATAGCATGAAATTGGTACTGTTCATCCCTGGTATTAATATCACAAGAACAGTGCAGGTCATTCCAGTTCAGTAATAAAATATTTGTAACACAGCTGTCCACAGAATTTATATAGAAGAGATTATTAAATGCTTGAATCTCATCTCTAGTGTATCCTGAATTACTGCCTGTCATGGTGATATTCTAGAGAAAATAAAGTATCTCTAATTTTGATGGAATGGTATCAAGAAATGGAGAATTATGTGGTAGCTTGTTCCAGCATTTACTTTTTTATTACATTTTAAAATAAACAGTCTATTTCTCGTTTCTGAATCTCTGGCAGGCATTTCTAGACTGTGCTTCTTGCTATTACTTTAAGTTTAGCAATCATTTGTGCTATGCATTTTTTTCTCCTATGGAGATATTTAAATAGCAATTGATTAGATGATTGCAGTTTTCATGCTTCTTCGAGGAATTTTTTTGAAGGCCTTGCTTATTCCCACAATCCTCTGTCTCCTGTATCTTGCTCCAAGGAAGAGGAGTAGACTTGAGCTGAGTACTTGATCTCTAATAAACATGTTTTAGATGTATTTTCATTCATGTTTTGTACTTTCTCCTAGATGTCTACTGGGTAATAGTGGCTGTAAGAAATCTTGGATTTTTTTTTCCTCTCCCTGAAATGAGTTTCAAAATGTTTCGTATTTATTGAGAACACAACCTTTATTATTGTCATATCATATCAGTCCATCACTGCTGTTGCTTTACAGAGGAAACGTCTCGCTTTTTTTATAGTATGAATTAGAACAGCCAGAGTTTGCCATCTGGTAAGAAGCTGAGCTTCAGCATATACAAAGTACAAACCAGTGTTAGGATTCAGAAAAAGTTAGATCTGCCTAAGTAGAGAGTCTTGTAAAAGCTGGGGATTTGAAATGTCTGTCATTAGCAGCCTTTTTAGAATTGAGAGAAAACATGCCTACTTTACCTGTGTTTAATTTCAGTTTCATACTTAGTATTTCTTTCTTGAAAACTATACTGGAAATAAGAATATGTATTTGTTTGTGACAGTTAATTTATTATCATAGAATTGGTAAACTTTGAAGGTGCTTATCAGTACTGAATGCAGAAATTGCATTTTTTGGGTGCTGCTGTGGTGATCTTTTTTGCACAGATACTGATCTTACTTACTTTTATGTGTAAGAGCATTACAGCAAAAGTGACTCAGTTCTGTGGTATTAGTCATGCTTTAGTTAAGCAATTCAGTTCTTCTGGTTTCTCTGATTCACTTAGAATGTCTGCTTTTCTTTGTAATCAGTGTAATGGTAGATTGTGAAGGATTCCCCCACTCCAGTGAAATTATTGTGAAACTGTTATATATATATGCAATATATGTGAAACTGGCAAAGCTACGTTTCATTCTGCTAAGCCAAAACATGAATTGTGAGCTCTTCCTGCCTGCTCTGTGGTAGGTAGAAATTACAGGAAGGTGTGTCAAGGACCACAGGGCGCTGATGAAATTGGTGATATGGTGCAGCAAAAACCGTTGTGTGGGTGAAAATGGTTAAGGACGGGCAGAATCAGTGCCCGGAGAGCGAGGCCAGCAGCAGTGGGGTGTTACTGCCCTCTGCTGGGCATTGCTCACTAGGAACTCGAAAATGGCTTTGTGTTCCTTATTGCTTCTGTTACTTTTGTATTCAGCCCAGTCCCAGGATTCTCAAGTGTCTCAAGATTCACCAGTTGTCGCTACTGAAGGTGGAGAGAGACTTAGAACAAGTTCTGGACCATCATTCAGGCTTGATAATACGGTTGGTCATAACAAAATAATCATAAAACTCTTTATTTTGTGATGTAATCTGTTTTTCTCATATTGGGTGACTAAGAGTAGGTGCACTATTCTAGATGCAGCAGTAAAACAAGCACCAAGTAAAGAGGTAACCACTGTGATGCATCTTCTGGCTCTGTTCCTGTTCATACAGCATGGGATGCTGTTGCTCCTCAGTCAGGGCACGCCATGGGCTTACACTCAGCTTGCTGAGACTCCTTTTTTACAGTGCTGCTCCCCAGGCAATCCCAGCTGGGACTGGTGCTCTGCCTTTGTCCTTCCCCAGTGCTGGACTTTGCCCTTGCTGAATTCGTACCATTCCCGTAGAGGCAGCCTCAGAGGTCCTTCTGGATACCAGCACTGCTGTTCAGTGCTGGTATCCAGAAGGATACCAGCTCTTCCTGCCTTTGTGTCTGCAAATTTGATAAAAGTGTGGTGTCACCTCCTCTGGGTCATTGCCAAAGACAGAGCCCTGTGTACTTGTTCCCCACCTCCACAGAGTGTGTAACCCTTCAGTCACTGACTTCTGAGCCTGATTATCCAGCCAGGTTTTTACCCTTCTTACTGTCCATCCATCCAGGTTGCAACATCCAAACTGGGATCTTAGAATATTGTGGGAGTGTTAAAAGCCTTGCCAAAACCAGCACCAGTGTCCCTCCTTTCGCTCCCTCAGATTCCATCATTTTGGTAGCAGATTAAAACAGTATTTAAAACATTCTGTTTATGACATAGATATATAAATGTACCTTGGGATGTAAATGTTCTGCATGTGTCTGTTCAATACACATATATGCATATATATATTTATAGTAGTACGTAATGAGAAATGTAGCAGAAGGGTTTCCTAGATTTTTTTTTTCTTAGGGCACATTTTAAGTCAGCATTTGGGAAGTACTGTTCACATCTAATTCTTCAAAATTTTGAAGTACAAGAACCCTCATTATGTGCTTTCTAACTTTGTAGAGCTTACCTTAGAATTAAAGAAGATAATGCTTTAGAAGGTTTTGTATATTTTAGTTTACTTTCATAGAATTAGATTTTAAGTCTCCTGTATGCAAAAAGTTCAATATTGGAAGTACTTGTAAAGTTCATGAGTTTCCAGTGTTTTGCATGTATGTCCCTCTGAGATCCACAATTCAACTGAAGTGGGTCTGTGATGAGAAATAGCCAAATCTGACCACCAGAAGATAAAACAATCTTCCAGGTGCCATGATTTGTATGCAGTTCTGAGAGGCTTTATATGAGAGTGAGTGTGTGTATGTGTGTGTATATGAGAGACATAGAGGGGGGAGGGGGCTGTTGGGGGGTGATGTTCCTGGGACATGGGGTGTGAATGTGTTGTACTGAGCAAGGATGAATCTATATTTGCCTGACTGTGCAAAACATGAAGGCTCCTACACTTGAACTGAGCTCAGAATAAAATGTGTGGGTTTAAAGCTTTACTTCTGAACATGTGAATACATGGTCATAGGTGTGTTACTTTATCCTAGGAAGTGCCAGGTTCAGAGGCTTCTATGCAACGAATACCCTGTGATGGAACTTCAACAGTTTCCACTGGCACCTTTTCAACCAGTGAAATGTTGAATGCAAGCCCGCTTGACACCGGTTAGTGTTCAGGTTTTGTTGTTCTTGTAGAAGGAAAATTGTGGTTTAATTTTATGGCAGAATGCGTCTAACTCGCCCGACATAAGTTCTGAAATAAGCTTATGTCAAACTTCACTGAAGGTTGATTAACACATCTTACAGAGTTGAGTATAACCAGTCTGTTTTCTTAGGTGCTCATGATTTTTTACTTTTATGATAATTTAATATTATTATACATCTGCTTTGGCAAAGGATATTTTGAGTTTTATTATGCAACTGTAATGCTAGCAGCTTTCAAGTGGCAATTTTTGTTTAAAAATTATCTTCAAATGATACACTGATAAAAGTTTTCTAATCGGTATATATATCATGGGTTATTGCAGAGCTATGATTGTCTTGCTGTTAAGAGACTTGTTCCATTATCTGCTTGTCACCACAGGAATTCTTAATGACTTATTTGTGAAAATATCATTTGAATGCCATAGTGCCTTTTAATAATTTTCTGGGAAATACGTGTTCTTACTATTTTTTGTCTGTAGTCTGCCTCTTGATGTTAGTTTTTCATAAAATTAAGAACAATTCCTTTATAATAGATACATAAGTGCTCTTGACATTATTACTTGTGAACATGGAAGTGAGTTTGAAATTGGTTAGTGACCCTTGGATTTACTTACTTTGAGGCTTAATATTGAGTTATTCTGACACGCATGTGATTTCTTAAGAAACATACGTATATGTGTTATTCCATGCTTGTAAATCAGTTTCTGAAGATTACAGTTTTCACAGCCTGAGATTTCAATGGGTAAAATTTCATTAGAGTTCAATAACATGAGGGTTAAATTTTATTTTAACCCTAATGTTTCGAACAGATGTTATTTTGAGTAATAAACCTTATAACTCAAGTGACACATCTGTGTTTTATTGATGTAAGAAAGCTAAAGCTTTCATTTCTAAGAAAATTTTATTGTAATTTTTCTTTATTCTTTTTTTAGTTGTGAAAGAAGAATACCAGAAGTTTTCATGAAGAAAAATATCAGATGTTACTTGACTAAATAAATTTTTCAAGTCTAGCTGTGTCTTCACCATACACTCAGTGCTTAGTAATGACCTTTTCTGGTAGCTTTGTGCAGTTCTTCTGTAAGCTTGTGGATAAAGAAGGGTTAGTGTACTGTTTAGGAACATGATTTTGGTTGTCTTGATCCCTTGGATTTCTAGTGTTGGTATAAAGCAATTTCTGTTTGATCATGAATAAAACTACTGTGGGGTGTCATGAAGATATTCAAGATCACATGAAAGGATTGACGCATTTATATGCAGTAGATGGTAAAGATGTGCTAGGTAGCATAAAATAGCAATATTGATTCTTTTCTGATTTTATTTCAGTATTTCCTAAGTCTACATGCTGTAAAAGTGCTATGTACTGACTGCTCCCTAATTGGATATTAGCAACTTTTGTTTGTGAAAATGTGTGGTAAGGTTTGTAGGAGCGTTGACAGAAGACAATTAAAGAAACAAAACCTCAGAACTCTTTATGAATATTTCAGGATACTAAGCACTGTCTTTTCAAATTATAATGTCAGTAGTTTGTATGCAAAACTGTGAGCATGTAACTTACTATTTCAGGATTGTCTTCTGATAGTAAAGAAGATGGAATTTTGAGAGAAACAGGAAGCCACCCTTGGAACTCCTCGCTTCCTTTTACCTCGCAGCGAAGGCAGGAGAATTTGTCTGGAGCATCTGAAAGTCAGTTGTCTGAAGGAGAGATGTGCTTTTATAAAGAAAACCAGATACAGCAGATCTTGGGGAGATCTACTGGGAACTTGAGCTCTTGCTCAGAAGACAATACACATTTCCAAGGTATTCATTATTTTATAGCATTTTTGTGCTGCTCTCTGATCATACAGAATGAAGAGCTTGCTCTGTGTTAGGCATTGGTCTGTATTATTTACATTCCATTTACATTTTAAAGTCAGTAAGGATTCTGCATGCAAGAATTCAATACTTTGTTGTTCTTGGAGCTTGGTGTTAGATATATGTTCACAAAGATTATCTAGTGCAGAAAAAAAAAGGACTGACAAGGTCTCTGTCAATTCTGTGCAGCTTCCTGCCACTGTGGCTGGGGTGCTGGCTACCTGTGCCATTTTTGTCATTTCTTTGTGCACAGCTTTCACTTCAGGAGGGTAGAGAAATACTATATAATACTTCATTGTTCACAGTGGGGCCACATAGTTGGTAAAACTCTGACTGGCTGGCTGGTGGGAGTTTTATGCTCTCTAGAAAAGTGTAGCGATTCAAAATGTAGAAAATTAAGTACATCATTATTAGCTATCATGAAGATTTAATTTAAATCACTTCTTCCTGGAGTGTTTGAAAACCTCAAATCATCTAATTATAGATTAATCTAGACCTGGAAGAACCTTCTAGTTATGTGACCCAAATTCTCCTTCCTGCTCACAGCAGAGCCAGCTTAGACCCACCAAGCAACATTTTAATAACTTTCTTCTTTTCTTGTTTTTTTTTCTTTTTTCTTCTTTTCTTGCATGTTCAAGGAGACTGCATTTTCTTTCAACTGACAGAGGACAGATTCAGATTAAATACTAGGACAAAATCAATCATAGTGAGGGTGTTGAGGCACTGGTACAAGTTGCCCAGATAAGTTGTGGATTCCCCATCCCTGCAAGTGTTCAAGGCCAGGTTGGATGGGGCTTTGAGTAACTGCTCAAGTGGAAGGTGTCCCATAGCAAGGGGTTTGGAACTAGATGATCTTTAAGGTCCCTTCCAACCCAGACCATTCTAGGATTCTCTGTGCTGTACCTCTTCAGAGTTAGTAGGCAGTTGACATTTTTTGTACCACTTCCCTCACACCCCAGTTCCTCTTTTAAGATTGAAAAAGTTCAGTTACTTAGCTGCTCTTAGAACATCATGTGCTACATCCATCCTCTAATCATCCTTGTAGCTCTTCATTGCTCTTGTTGTGTTGTGAGTTTTGTACTGAGAAACCCACACTACTTCTGAGGCAGTCTCGTAAGAGCTGAACAGAAAGCTTACAGACTTCACCTTTTCATTTAAAGAATAATAAAATTGAATCAGGGTAGCATTTTCTTACTGCTTTTTGTAGCTGCATTGTGTCAGAGTCAAAGAATTGGATGCTGTAAAGATTTATTTTTCAGCTGGTAGTTGTATACCTGCAGAATTCTATATAGGCTTTATTTATTGTATGTAGAAAGAGTTCATGATATATCCATTGTTTGGGGGTTTGGGGTGGGTTTTTTGTTTGTTTGTTTTTATTTTGGTTTTGGGGGTGTGGGTGATGGTTGTTTATTTTTAAAATAACCTTTTCTCTTATAGCTCTAGCAACTGAACTCTGTTTTCCTGAAATGGAGGGACCTTTTCCAAACTTCCATCACCAGATTTTTCAGCCTTTGGAACCAAGTGTTGACTTTGATACATCATCATCCTCATCCTGTTCTCAATACAGAATTTCCCAACACAGTAAAGAATTTATCAAGGTACTGCAGAAAAAACTGTGGTGGAGGAAGTGCTTTGGCTGAAGATTTTTTAAGATTTAAATGCATAATCCCTACACTATTTAGAAAAAAACACAGTTATTTTTTATATATGTAGATTGCTGGTTGTAGCAGAAACATGACCTAAAAATCAAAAACTACCTTTTTCTTTTTATCCTTCATATTTCTGAGAAAATTAATCTGAAATCAAAAATTTTTTTTATGCCACTAGACTTCGGAATTTTTAACAGGAAGTCCAGATGTGTCTACATTTCTAGAAGAGGAAAACTCTGGTCTGAATGGACAAAGAAGCAGTCTTCCTTCTAGTCTTGAAACAAGTGGGCAAAACATTTCATCAGAAGGATTGGTTAGGGAAAACGTTACTCCAGGTATGTTCAGTGTACTTTTCAAAATCAGCTTTGTGCCAGTGTATAAATACCAGCCCTTAATGTGGGTTTGAAATGGGGGCAGATCTCGCTTCTCTGAGCCCTGCTTTGAAATGTCTTAACTCCACTGCACTCTCACACAGTCTCCTCCACCACCTTTAATGATAGAATTCCTAAATTTTTTAAAGTTCATTTCTTAAGCAGTTATGACTGTGATACAAAAGCAAACCAGGTATTCAAGTCACTGTAACGGATATTGTGTTACTTACTCCTTCTGTGGTGATTTGGTTGGCAAAGAAATACCAACTCTGGCTGAAACTGTCCTTTTTCAAGTATTTGTTAATGTATATCCATTACTTTATAAGTTTGAGTAAGGTAAGGAGGTTCCAAAAATTGATTAAAATTTTGTTCATGTGTTAGAGTCTCTCTGAACTGAGTAATTTGTCTTTTACATACCCTGTGTTCTTCAAGAAACAATTCCACTTTCCCACTGTTAAGTCACAGCAGAATTGTGCACACTGTGATACCTGGTTTGATTACAGAACTGCCTTAGGTCTCTACAAAATAAAGTGGAGGACACGACAGCAACTTTTGAGCTACAGTATTATAATTAATTTAGTGGATTGGAAGTCTGTGATTTAGTTAACTGCACCTTATAGCAGGAAAAATATTTTGTGATATTTTGCAGTTTAAATTAAATTAACTTGATATTTCTTGTAATTCTAAATTCTAAAAATTCCAAATGCAGGTAGTAGTAATCGAAGTATTTCTGGAGCACGTTTCAGTGTTTCCAGATGCTCCAGGAAAAAGCTGAACAGTAACAAGAAGTGTATATAATTACACAAAAATCAAGTAATAGATGTAGTTATAATGTAAATGTTACTGGTCAGTTATATTTGTGACTTGCAAAGTAATAAAAAATGCTAGAAGAGGTTGACACTCCAAGGTGTTGTGATTGATCACGGCAAATAGGATTTAGGAAGCTCCATTCTAACTTCAAACCATTCTGTTTCTAAATTGCTTTAGACAGAATCTTTGTGGTTTAACTGCAAAATCTTCCCATCTCTTAAGTGTTTTTATAATCCCAAACCAATTATTGTTGTGCTTTAAAAAGAGGGAAAAAATAACATAAGGAACAGGCTAAGCAAGTAAAAACTATTTGGGATTGATTGTTCAGGAAAGGCTGATGTGCAAGTGCATCATCCAGGGAATTTTCTGTTGATGGCTGATGTCGCAGTGTAATTCTCCCCTCCCCAGTATTGTCAGCTGTTTATCAGCAGACAATATTCTTTATACATGTAAAACTAGATATTTTCTGTGTATCAAAGAATGCAAAAAAGTGTCTAAAGGAAACCATTAAAGTTTTCTGTGGCACTTTCCATGTGTATAAAAAGCCTGGTGATAGCACAATGCTGTAGTCTGTGTAACTGATTTCAGCAGACTTAGGACAAAAAAAAGTGATTTAAACAACACTGTTGTCTGTTTGGCACATGCTGTTCTGCTGAAATACCTCCCCAATAATTAATGTTGATACCCAGTCTTTCTCTTTGCCCAGCCTCTTCTGGGGAAAAATGGTATCTTGACTTCTATGCTCAGATAAAGAAAGATAATTTAGGGTGCAGTAGTGTACCTTGTAGGAACAGTAGTCTCTGTTCCAGTTTGAATGTTGCTTTCTACTTTGAAGATTTTCTACCCAAGTAGTGGTGTTTTGGATGGTTTTCTTTCTGGTTTAGAGACTTTGTTGCAGGCCCAAAAGAGACTCAGAGGACTTCAATTTACAGACTATAAGCTATAAAATGTTCTGGCTTCCAATGTAGTTATGTCAGCACCATCACAAAGTCCATCCCTAAACATACTCTAAAAGCAGCAAGAAGTGTTGTTTCTTGAAGTTTTGTGTACAGTGATGGAATAATTTTCTGTAATGTTAATGGCATTATGTTTGAGGAAACTTGCAGTCTTTTAAACAAAATGTTCCCTTTTTACTAGACTTCTTGTTATACATTACTGAAAAGTCTTCTTATAGAGAGACTTAAAGTGGAAATTCTGTTTTGCTAGCAAGAAGTTTGACTTCTGACACTTTTTGAAACAGGATCTGAAGAATCTTTTCACCCACTGCAATTAGACTGTACTCTGAGTGATGACTGTCAGAATGCTGATCAGCCAGGGAATATGAACATTGTGTCACAGAGACCTTTTGAACAAACCCCTGGAATTAAAAACAGAGGCAATGAGAGCTGTATTACACCTGCAAGTGGATATGAAGAGCTGTCAAGAAGTATGGGTTGTATTAATCTCCAGTGTTCAGCGGAAGATCTGCAGAATGAAAGTCTGATTCACCTGGAAAAGCCAAAATCATTTTATCAACTAGATCTCGTACCAGTTACAATGGATGAATCTTTCCCTCAGCAGTTAGTAAAAGAGACTGTGTCTTCTGAAAAATTGCCTTTGGAGGCACTTGGTAAGAAGAAGGACGTGAAGCTTCCTGAAAAATCAGTTCCTGTAGATGAAGTAAATAAAGCTGTGGAGCTGCATTCTCAATGCAATGTGGATATAAAGGAGCCAGACCAAAGCTTTCCAGAAGGACAAGAATCTCTGAGGGTTCTCAGAGAAACCAACTTGGAAGACTCAGACATGGGTTTGCACACTGTTGTACAGCAGAACAGTTCTTTATTCCAAGGACATGAAAAACATTCTCATGCTGCGCCCAGAAGCTCAAGTCATGTTCCAGTCTGGGTGAGTTGAACAAATTTCCAAAAGCAGGGGTTTTGTTGTTGCACAAAGTGCGTTAGACCTTTAATATCTGAAAGCTTGGCAAGTGTTGATTTTTCAATTCTAGTTCCTGTTTCCTGGAGTTTTGCCCTACTACTTCTTCCAGATCCTAGCACTGAGATAATTAGCAGTAGTTTAAATGAGCTGAGTTCCCACAATGGTTGGAGGAGCTGCAGCATCCCTACTGCATCTCCTTCTCTTAGCACCAAGTGATAGAGCTCATGCAGCTGGGTTACGTGGCATGGGGGCCTCACTGAACAGCCCCTGGCTCCATTTGGAAGCCTGAAGGAGATAAATAAATTAACCAAAGCATAAGCAAACTTAAAGAAATAGCGTTGATGTAGCTTTAAAAAAAAAATGTTTTCCCCAGAATTAAGTAATTTAAACTTGTGGAGAGGGGGAGTTTTTATTTATTTGGTTGCTTTGGGTTATTTGTTTCAGTTTTTTGAATTCTGATATACAAATATTCTTTCTGCATTTCATTTACTGCCTGGGCAGGTTTTCTTTTTTCTGTATGTTAAATGAGCTTCCTTTTTCTGACAACAGTTGTTGCTATTGCTGAAAATACTGGGTTTTTACTTTTTTTCCTTACTGATATCTTGATTAATTTATTTTCTAGGAGACTGAGTCAGGGCATGGTATTATGGAAGAACCTGAGCTCACTCTGATAAGCTCCAATGACATCAGTATTGTAGAATCAGACAGTGAACATCCTAACCAAGAGAAAATTAAGGAGGATGCAATGCAGAACTCAGCATGTGTGGATCAGTGTGAATGTAATGTTTATCCTGAGGTGAGCATTATCTAATGTGAGTCTGGTTTGAACTTAGTATTAATCACAATAAGGAGAGGCCTCATTGTAGCAGTTAGTCCACTGTTGAAAAACAAGAGGTTGTTGGGTTCTCAAAGTTTTGTAATTGCTTTGGATCATCTTGTTTGATGTTGTGTTTTCCAGACAGATCGAATAGGTTCTAAATTTGGGATATTCCTTAGAGTCACTCCCTCGTCACTAGATAGAGTTTGGGAAGGCTTGCTGCAAAAAACAAAACCATCTTGCTGGTGTTTGCAAGATTGAATTGTATCTTTCTAATTGAAAACTGGATGAAAGGAGAGTGTGGGATAAAATTAAAACTACAAGGTAGACAGGAAAAAAAAGGAGAAACCCCTCACCTTGTGAGGATGGAGCCATACCAGACTGCAGCAGCAGTTAGAGGGAAAATTAATCAGCTCTTCATAACTGCCACACTTAATTAACCTGTGGTGTTCTTTTTTGCTGCTTGCTTATATAAAGCAAAGGCTTTTGTAAACTGCAGAGGGGTGGGCTGTAATTACACCATAGTTTGGGTGCTGAAGCACTGATGTAGAACCAGTGTCTACAGTGTAGAACTGTGTCTGTTAGATGAACAGATCAGATCATGCACTAATTGCAAGAGCCATCTAGAGAATTCCTGAAAGTGTCTTAAGGATGGGTTTTTATCAAGTAGCTGATACATGGGAGAGGTGCAGGTTGGCAGCAGGAGGCTGTACTGCTGCAGTGGGTGTCATCTGCCTCTGGGAAAAGGGGGGAAAAGACAGAGAAGGAAGAGAGTGATGGGAAGAACTGAAGAGAGCAGGAGGAAATTAAAATAAATTGGATTTGCAGACCTGTATTAAGAACACGCAATTGAAATCTGGTGGGCAAAAGTCTTTAATGGATGTCTTTGGGTTTTTTGAGGTTTTGGGTTTTTTGGGGGTTTTTTTTGGTTTTTTGGTGGTTTTTTTGTAGGTGTTGTTGCTTGTTTTTTTAAGTTTTAAAATGTTTTTAGAAAACAGCTTTTTCATACCTATTATCAAAATCCGTTTCTGATTTTTCTTTGCATCAGGCATAAAGGCAAAAGCAAATCTTTTATTTGTATTGGGTCTGTGCTAGTGGTACAGTAGTACTGCTTCACTCAAATTTGTCATACATGTTAAGCATTTCCAATCCAATCACTGATCCTTTTGAAACAGGAGAGAGAATTTCTACCACTAGCTCCAGATGCAGATGATTCAGCTTTCATAAGGCCTGACAGTTCTCCCAAATCGCAGAGTCCCAACAAGAGTCACTGTCCATCACATCAGACTGCAGGTAATATGTGGTTCTTCAATACACTGAAGTAGAAAGTATTTTTTTAGTATAAAAATCATCGACAAAATACACCTCTCATTTGGAAAACTTAGAGCTGATTTTACTTAGGCAAGTGCATCCTGCTGTTCAGGCTTGGTCTGTAATACCTTTGACTGAGGCTTAAGTGTGTGTCACATTGACTTGTCTCTTCCTGGGCCAGGTTCTCTCTCATGAAACTTGAGAATCTCTACCACTATACTTGTTTGGTTTTGTAATTACTTCATTTTAAAAAAATCTGTGTCCTTTTCTGATTTGTTGTCATAATTTATGTACCTTTGTTTATTTCTCATTTTCTGGTAGTCCCCCCAAGTCCTGTAGCCAAAGAATTGTCCTTTTTCCTATTCTTATGGTGATTCCATAGGGTCTGAGCTGCTGCTGGTTCTGCAAGGTGCCTCATCATTCAATGCCATTCTCCTCGTGCCATTTACAAAAGTGCTCAAGCTCAGCATTTTAGAAAAACCTGGAAATGCTTCATTGCTCATTATTAAAAGTAAAAGATGTGGAGACTTTTCCTTTTCTTTCACAGTGATGCTACTGGAGTTTGCAGCTACACCCGGAAGTTTACAAAAATATTTTTTAAAAAGAAAGCAGAATTTCATCCAGGAATCTCTGAAAAGAGTAGAAGCAATAAAAAATAAGGAGAGAGAAAATGAAAAGCTGGAAGCAAGAAAGCTTCTAGGAGGAAAGTCGGATAATCTAAGAAGCAGACAGAAGGAGTCTGGTCTTCTCTCTGGTAGGTTTATGTGGGGGGCAAGACACAGCATTAGGCATCCCTTCAATTGATGTTTCATATCAAATAATAGATTTTATATTTGCTACATGTTTGCTATTGCAAACTGGGATATTCTTTAATTTGTTTTCTCAGGGAATCAGGGAGCTTTGTTTTCCCTCACTGTCTGGCTGCCTGTGTTGTAAAGCCCCTTATGGGGGCTCTTCATATTTCTTCATATTTCATTCAGCCCACCATTATCGTCATAAGGTGCCTCGGCAAATCACAGCTGCCTAGCACAGAAGAGCCATGTTATCAAACTGGTGCAACTCTAGTGCCTGGTCCTGGGGACTTGGAGGTCGGCTGTGGAGATCCATGGATGGCCTAAAGCACAGGCACCAGCCTCAAGAATGAGACTGGGGGGATTTATTTTAACTCGGGATGTAATCTCTGTTGCTTCATTCTGCTAGCTTGTCTTGGGTTTTGTCATGACATTTAAAAATCTTTGGAAATTTCTCATGCTTTTGAGTTAGCTGAACTAGAGATTTAAATTTAGGATATGTTTGGCTTCTTTTTTTCCTCTAGGAAAAAATGGTGCACTTGCCAATCAGTTGAAAAAAGTAGGAGAAGTGAAAGTATCTTCTCCAGAGGATAGGAAGTCTGGAGAAATTGAAATGCACCAGCGTACATCCAGGTATTGCATGAACACAAGTGGGAGAAGTTTAATTAAAAAAAAAAAAAAAAAAAAAAAACAGAAAAAAAGTAGTTAATCTGTGTTTTGTGAAGGCTGCTGCTCAGTCTGTGCTCTTCCAGCTGGATCCAGTGCTGCTTAACACTGAAGAGGTGGGAGAGGCGCCAGGTGTGTTTGATGCAGGTACCTGCTGGGAAATGCCCTTGCAGAGGTGGCACTGAGGAAGGTCACTCTGCTGCTGTCACCCTGCTGAGGCAGCTGTGCCACTTAATGCCTGACATGGGATGAAATATGATGCCAAGTTCACAGTTGCACTTGGGAGCAGTTACAGGCAACAAGTGCAGCTCCAAGCAGGGAAGGTTTGTTTGATGCAGCTGAAAAAGAATTTGAAGTGATTCTGGATTACCAGAGAGTGCTGTCAAATTGTCCCAATTGCTAGCAACTGAGCCAGGGCAAAACCTTGTTACCCTGCTTCATCTTTGCCACTTCCTTCCTGCCCAGACATTGATTTTTTTTTTTCTGTTTTCACAGACTTTATAATCAGCTTGCAGAAGTAAAAATTAGAAATGAAGAAAAAAGAAGGCAAGAAACTTATGCTAAAAACAGAGAAAAGGCTAAAGAGTTTCAAAAGGTGATGACAGTTTGCTAGCGTTTTCTTGCCCTTTGGTCTCTTGATTTCACTGAGCTTCCTTCCAATCAGAGTAATTGAGATGTGTGAATGGGGACCCTCAAACCAGTCTGGATGTTAAGTGATGCCATTGGTACAGCCCACGTAGGAATTTTCTTGTCAACAACTGAGCTCGTTTTCTCTAAAAAGTATCTGTCTCAGGCTGAATATTTTTATGACCTAAGCTTGAGCAAAAAGGCTCCAGCTGCTTGAAACTCTGTAGCAAAAGAATGGCAGCCTTTTTCTTAGTCCAGACTTCACTAGATTTCCATTTTAAGGCAGCATTCTGGGTTTGGTGTTTTTTGGGCTGCTTTGGCTACTCCAGGTAGAGTAAGAGTCTGGGCATGCCCAAACTTGAAAGGTGCAAGAATCTTGTCAGGGTTTTGATGGCAGTAGTTGTAGAATAGGGTTGAACAAGAGGCCTTAGGTTTGTCTGTTCCCCCTTTCCCCTGCTGTGCCTCAGACAGCTGAAAGGAAGGAAATGCTGGATAATCCTAACAGGCTGTGGGGAATCCAGGTCCAATTCTTGCATTTAGCCATGACCAGCTCACCTGCTCTGTGGTGGAAGGAGTGGCTTTGTTACATTGTTTTACCATCATTAACAGAGAAGAGAAATAAGCACACTATCCTCATGCCCTGTAATCTGTGGCCTCTGGAACAGAGGCGGCACAGCTGATGTTCTGGTACCCAGCCATGCTGGCTTTAGGACAGTCACTTCAGCTTCAGTACCGTTCCAGACCAGCACTACCCATTGCTGATGTTCTGGTTGCAGTACCCAGCCATGCTGGCTTTAGGACAGTCACTTCAGCTTCAGTACCGTGCTCTCATGGTTTGCTGTATTTGCAGAAAATGCTGGAGAAACTGCGAGCCAAGAAGACTTGGAAAGCACCATGACAGGGCAAGAGTGAGCAACAAGGACACACGGTGGTGTTTGTACAATCCAGGCCAATGAGTGGTGCAGCCTCTATGGTGCACTGCGAAGCCATTTAGGAATCCTCAGCTTTAAGCTGTAGGAAAACTTGAGTACCCCAAACCCCCGTGGTCCCCTGGTCAGAGCTCACCACAGCAGATGGACTGTGCTGCTTTCTTCATTGTTTGTCTCAGATTGAGTTACTGGCCTGAAAGGCTTTTCTTATATGTTAATATTTTAAAGAGATACTAAGTTTTGTAACATACCTGTATAAAATGTTTTCAAATAAAGTTTTAAAGTTATTAGAATCTCTGGGTAACAGAATATTACTTCTGTAAAGCTGGAATTTTTAATCTGTTCTTTGCACTATGTGATTTAAAATTGAGAATGAAAAATCTCACAGTTACTTCTTCCAAAGAGGGCTTTTCTATCCCTGTTTTCTGAGCTAAGCATGTATCAGGTCAAATTCAAAGCTCAACTTTTGCTGTAAACTTGGTTAACAGGTGCAGTACCAGGGGATTTTCATTAATGCTCATTCTGGTTAAAATGCACCACAGCAAGCCATGCAGTAGTTAGGGGAGGAGGAGTTAGTAAAGGTCCTGCTTAAAGCTCCAACAAGATCTCCCCAGAGCATTTTCTGCTCCAGGAAAAACCCCAGCTCTGAGCCTCTTCCAACAGAAGGTGCTCCCTCCCTGTGCTCATTTTTGCAGCCTCCTCTAAATCTGCTTCAAGGGAGCTCTTGAAAAGCTGATTTTTGATAAATTAACTCTACACTTCTTTTCACTCATTCCTTTCAGTCTGGTGCAGTTGCATGTACTGCAGTGGTGAAGCCAGAAACAGTTTGTTCAACTCCATGGAGTCAGGTGGAGAATTTGTAGTTCTGGGATTTTCAGTAGAGCATGGAGTAGCAAGTTAAAATTAATGCTTAATTCAAAAAACTGCAATAAACACTCCAGAGAAGGTTCTTTATTTGGAATAGCTGTGCAGTTCATTGGAGTAGGCTTGCAGCAACATCAGCAGGATCTAAGAGAGGAAAAATATCCATTAGCATTTTCAATCCAAATAAAAATTTTCTAATATCCAATCTAAACCTCTTCTGGCACAACTTGAGGTCACCTCCTCTCATCCTACTGCTTGTTAATTGGCAGACCAACCCCCACCTCACCACAAGCTCCTTTCAGGTGGCTGTACAAAGTGGTGGCTCACCCTGTGCCTTCGTTCCTCCAGGCTTAACAACCCCATCTCCCTTAGCTGCTCCTCATCAAACCTGTGCTCCAGAACCTTCCCCAGCTCCCCTGCCCTTCTCTGGACACACAAGCAGCAAGTGGGCTGCTCAAACCACAATTGTAGCAGCCCTGTTCCTTAATGCCTCATGCTGCAAGTTATTGCTTCAGAATGGAATGGAGTAGCCTCTCCTCTACATCAGCATCAGAAAACCCCATGGCAGCAGGGTTAAGGCCCTTCTTCAGCCCAGGAGCCTGAGTACACGAGGTGTTATCTCCTCACAAATAGACCATAGCACACACCGAGTGTCCACGGCATCCTGCAGAGGATTTCAATATGCGGTCACCGCGTTAAGAGCTGCTGGTTTTTCAGCCATGCAAACCCTCTTTGAAGTGACCTTCAATTTCTTGACAGCACCGGCTTTTTTGGTAAGTGCCCTTACCTTCACACTCACTTTGGCAGCTCCCACATGGTGTTTCTTATCCCTCTGACACACAGCAACTTGGTGGCAGACCCTAGGAGTTAGAAGAGTTGGGTTTGGTTAGTACAGGGGAAAAGTGCACCTTGGGTGTAAATTGCATGAACAGCCTATGTCTCCCCTTTTTTTCTTCTGTTCCAAAGAACCATCTTTCCAGCAGGAGCTCTGGAGTTCAATCTACAAATTTCCCTCAACTGGAACTTTCTCTCCCCTGTAGCTTAAGCCTTGAAAGTGCCCAAGGATACATCCCTGCAAGCCACATTCCTACACCTCAGGAGGAACTTGCTCTTAACAGCAGAAGAGAGTACTGTGTCCTTGACCTGTGTTAAAAGCTTTATTCCCAGCAGACTTGGTGCCACACCATGTGGCAAGACAGGAGTCTGGTGGATTTGCTTTATGGTCATGTCCACAGCTCACCAGAAACAGTAACATCCCAGCAGCCTTGGTAATGACCAGACACTCCTCTCTCACTGCTCTTATGGGACTTCACTCAATAACCCAGCTGCCCATCGTTTCCAGTGAAGGACCAATCAATCCTGCTAATATATAACCCAAGTTGTGAACAAGCCTAAAGTATGGCACAAGTTCCAAGTACTGAGGAATTCCTCACAACCAACGGCAGAGTAATTCAGACACTTGTACTACAAATGGCTGCACAAGTGTGACAGCAATCTGAAGTATGTACACACACACAAGAATGACTCACAGATGAGTGATCTGCTCAGATACTGCACAGAGCTGCAGTGATTACTACCCAGTAATCTCTGGTACTACACAACCCGTTCTACACTTAGTTCTACAACAGTTTAGTAGTTCCCATGTTTACAGTCATACAAAGCTAATACACCAACTAATACACCAAAGTAAAATTGTATGGAACTAATATAACCAAGTGCTTACCTGTCAAACAAGTTGCTTCCATCTTTTTTAACTTGGGGCAGTTCACTTCATTCTGTATTCTCAAGCACCTGTTATAAAAAATTGAATACACTTACTGAGTTCCAGAGGCTAGTAGCCAGTTTTCACAGAGATAATCAAAATGAAGACAAATGAAGACATCTACTTTCATTTGTTACGTGAAAATACAAACTAAGTACACTGAAATCCGTGAAGAGGTAAAAGACTGTTTCAGCAAAAATACCAGGTTTAACCGACACAGCAGACTGAAAACCAAGGATGCCAAATGCTGCACTGCTTTTTCAACATCCCATCAGGACAAGGCTGCTGGGTGCAGGCACCGTAACACTGCAACAGCTCAGTTTACAATTGAGCTTCCTGCAGGCACCAGTGGGTGTCAGGGAGTAAGAGGTTCTCTTCACAAAACTGCCGTGCAGCTGAGAGGGAGAACAGACTAACATGAACAGCAGCTTCAAATTCTCCTACGTGAAAATTTATACTTTTTACAGAGTACTTTGCTTCTTTTACTTTGAACTCTGTTCTATAGAACAAAATCCAGGAATTTTAGCAGTATAGCAGTAAGGTGCCTGAGCTGCTCAGAAATGAACTCTTTAAACCCCCATACTTGAAGAACTTAACCAAGTATTGCTGCTCAGTATGAAACTGTGGAGCATCTCTTGATACAAAAAAAATGCAGCAAGTTTATGAAGCTGGTTCATAACAGACATTACGGTGTTGTCTCTTCTTACCTATAGCCACTGAAACAAGAAATAATAATCACTCCTGATGATTAAAGGGGGGAATAGACTGTTTCAAGCCATCCAGAAAACAAGCAGCAAAAAAAAAACTGTGTTACAAGTCCTACACAAAAACCTGGCCAAGAGACTAAGTTCAGCCCATGTAATTCAGAATGTCAGTTGCACCTGAAGTCCCAGAACACACAGACTTTTTACTCCAACCAAGCTTTTCCACTTGAAACAATTTTTGTTTTGTATTCCAAGCATGTTTCAATACACCTAACAGAGATCACTGGGCATCCTCAGATTCTACGCTAAGATTTGTCTTGCAGTTGTATCCCACAGAGCTAACAGGTAGTTAAGTGGGTAAAGCCAAACCACAAGTTTATTCTGTGAGGCGTTTCCAACGACACGAACCTACGGAAAAGATCCCATCGGGATAGACCTCAACACTTCTGGTACTATAAATTAACACAAGAGATAATAAAAATCAAGCAGACTGGGAAGATATCTGGTAGAGATCACAGTAAGTGTCATTTTATGTTGTTTCAAGACATTTTGGGGAAGGAAGAGAGTAAACTGATACACTAGCATCTCCTTCATATTACTAAGTTTTTAATTACATGTTACCTGAGAAGCAAACATCAATGGGAATTATCTACACAACTCTGCAGAATCCTCCCTGTAGATTTCCTATTACATGTAACTTACTGATCAAAACTATTAGTTTAAGGAGTTGACCTGTTCACCTTGTTCTTGACTAAGGAATTTACATGAACATTCCTTGGGCAAACTTAAGTTAGGATAAATTCTTCCCTTAACAGGATGAATGATCTATTAGGATATACTAGTGCAATGTTGAAAACAGTCCCTGAAGCCTTCACAAATCAGTGAGCTTTGTCTGAGAGATTTCTGGCCTACTGACAACCAGAGCGCCTCAGTCTTTGAGGTATGGGTAGAACTTCAGATGTCACACTAACCCTTGAAGCAGCTTCAGACTTCTGTGAAACAGCAGCCTGCATTTCTTCCTTTATTTTCTCTAAGTACCTGCCACCAGAAAAGAACAAGTAAAGTTACAAACCAGAACATAAATCAGCAGAACCTACAGCAATACTAAGCAGATTTGTTCAGAAAGGCTCTTCTCACTCACTCTCTTCAGAGCAGTTGAACATTTTGCCGATCATCACAACAATTTTCTCACAGCATTCTTAAGTTAGGGGAAAATAAGTTCTCATGTTTTCAGAAACAACATTGCATTTTCTCAGTAAGAGAGGAGCAGCAGAATACCAGCTCACCAAGTTAAAGACAGGTGGCTGACCTGAAAAAGGCAAGGGTAAAAAAGCCAGTGACAGAAACTTACCAAAATGCTCTTTCAGACTGGACATAAGGCACACTTCCTAAAATAAAATAAATTGTTGTATCAAGTTTCCTCAGTATTTTAGCAGTTCATCAAGACTTGGGTGCTTTTATCCCAGTATGGAGCCAGGCAGACAGTAGTCCAGTTACACTGGCTGAATGTTAATGACACAACAAAGCACTTTATCTGCAATCAAACCATAGCCTAGTTTATCACACAACTAGCAACTAGGTCCATCTGCAGCTGAAGGAACTGGAGCACTATGACACAGAAGGTAAAACTAAGGGAGTTACCTCACAAAGAAAGCATGGAAGAGACCACTGTAAGACACCTTCAAAATATGCTTTTAATAAACCATCTACAGGAATTCAGCACTGCAAGTATTTTTCTCTACCTGCTAATTCTACTTCTTTTAGTACACAGAATGCAGAATTGAGGCACATCAACTGACACGTAAGCTTAAACTTCGTAGTAGCTGCATTTTTAAGTATGATCGCAGAACTGTCCCACTAAGTGAACTTGTTACAGGTCTCATTGTCACCACTGCAACAAAGTGTACAGCGAGGAAAGCAGAACCTGTTACTCTTCTAGCCACGTTTTCCAATTCAGACACACTGCAGGTTGTGTCTAGCTGCTGAAGAACGAGGCATAAAAACTGCACAATGCCTTTAGCATAGCCTGGTTTTTAAAATACTTTTTTTTTCTAGTCACAAAAGGCAGCCTACAAGATAAGAATTGAGCTTTTATCTTCACACAACTACCTCCACCTAGGAAAAAACCCAACTGTTTCCTCAATACTTACACTTGAGTAGAAGCTTTCTAATCTGTTCCACACATCACAGGGATGCCCCTTTAAAAAAAAATTTTTGGAATAATGTCACTAGTCACTATACTTTTATCCCATAACAGTTTAGCAGTTTTTTGATGTTGTATTTGAAAATCTGCACACTAAAAAACACTAAATCTACTTGTTTCAACAGAAATACCAAGTTTAACCAGCACATCTGCATGAAAACCAACGATGCCAGCTGTTGAAATACTGTAGCACTGCTTTTTGAACAGCCCATCAGGAAGACACTGCTGGGTGCAGATACCATACAGTGCACAAATTAGTCTGATTACTTGCTGTGGGAACAGCACTAAACTGAAGAAACCCAATGGTCTTATGGTGAAGCTCACCTCTTTTGCTTCCATGTTGCACAGATGTCCACTGAAGTAAAGGATTTGTGAATCAGGTCAGCAAACAGCCATAAGAATTAAAGAGGTCTTGTAATCAAGCAGTTACAACTGCTGCTGCAGTGTGACTGTGCTCATCTGCAAAGGAAGATGCAATCAAACTACACTTCTGAAAATTCTGAACACCAAACTCTAGATTGATCAGTATTTGAACAAATGAATGCTATTTGAGGCCATGCAAATATTGTCCCTTCGGGTAGGTAACACAACCGATACATTCATCGGCTGTGGGTTGCAAAGGAAGGGCTTTTTCTAAGCACTAGGTTCCAGGTTTTTGTCTACAGCCAAAGACAAAACCTGATCAAGTGCTGGAACAGACTGAACACATTCATTTTTTTGCTATTTTTGAAACACCATTTCAAATTACTTCCCAATTGACTATACACTTAGTGTTAGCAGTAGAACCTGACAGTTACCACGCTGTCCAGTCCTAGAGACAGGTAGCTTGAACCAAGGTAATTGTGGTGAGGAGTTCAGAATCACATACACTGTGCCAACCTGATGTGCTTCCTAGTGCAGTTCTCCACCTACAGCAACAGCCAAGTGAGATGTCTGCTCCTACCCTTTCACTCAAGAATATTCTTGTAAGGTTTCACTACTTGCCCACCCTCAGCTCAGTGTTCCCCACGTCAAAGGGATTTTCCTATGCTGTATCCTTACTAGGTGCTTTCTTCCATGCTATTCCCTACACTGCCCTGTTGAGAGCTTTGTAACAAGCTGGCTCCTGGATAAGGGTCACAGCCAGATTAATCTGCCTGAGATACAAACAGGGGAAATGTAGAGGATTTTGTAGATAGTTAGCTAGCTAACAAAGATCATGCTGGAAGCAAGAGGGAGACAAAGATAAAAGCGGCAAGGTCACTGTGCCCTTGCTGAAACTTGAGGTTGTGGGAGAGGTTCGTTAGCTAGCAAGAATGAAGGAAGGATAGAAGAAACCATAACAAGGTGAACACAAGAATGTAAACGTAGACGTAGTTGACTGATAAATGACTAACCAATGATGAGCTCAATTTTTGCAATATGCATTAGCCTTATTAACACTGCTATAAATGTGTGTGCCTATCCAATAAACTTTTGAGACTTGTTGTTCATCATCTAGTGTGCAAGTCTTCCTTCTCCATCACTGCCCCAAGCCATGCAAACTTGGCAACATCCTACAGTAAGAAGCTTTCACAGCCATGTACATGCAAGACTACCAGTTGCTCTCTGCTGTCCCTCCTGCTCTTGGAAGAGATATAAATTAAGGTGGAATTTTACCATAGGGAAGCCACCAGAAGCTGCAGCTGTTGATACACCCTGGCACAGAAAGTGTGGGTGAGGCACTACGAAGACTGAGAGGAAAGTAGCTCTTCAACATCTTCAGCAGAGAAAATTCCAGGCAGTGTTGTCCAAGCCAAATCAGATAAGTTGCAGCATTTGACAGCAGGTAAAACTTTTGGTTGTTAACAAAAACTGCACTTTGAAGTATTCAAGAACTGAAGTTTTTGTTTAAATAGATGCTACAGGCTCTAATTTTGGTCAGACTGATGAAAGGTATATAGCACTGAACTCACACCTGGGAAGTTTCACACTCACAAGCTGCTGCTCAGCTGTGGAGCACTGTAATATATTAATTTTAACTATGGAGCACTGCTTTTTCAAAACCTTTTGTGAAATAATGCAAAAAAAGCTACCTAAAGGAAACAAAACTGAAACCCAAGTAACAGCTTACCTTATGCAGCAAGAAAACCAAGCGGTATTTCATCTTCCAAAAGCAACATAAACTAGACAGGAAAGACAAGAAAAACAAAGTGAAAAAACTGTCATACAGTCAAATAACTAAAGATTCCTGAAGCCAAAGCCAGATTTTAACAACCAATTTAGCAGCTGTAATAAGCTTGACTTTCATGAATATATTTATCCAGTTCTAATCAATATTGAAATTTAGTTTACTTTTGAGTCACTCAGCAGTTGAACAGCCAAATTCACCACATGAACTGCAGAATGAGCAGGACTCCTCATACACCACTCACTGTGCCCTACCAAGAACCCCACTCCTTGATCCAGGGCAGGTCTTCCAAGCCTTTAAGTATTTTTCAGGAAGACACCTAAAAGAGTTACATTTAGCCATTAATTATGAACCAGTTTTAGTTGTGATCTTTAAATGCTGAAGAGTAATTTTTGCAGTTCTAGCTAGAGCTATCAAGATATGTTTGGGAAACTTCCTTACAAAGGTCTGGGACCTTAATTCAAGCATGTAAATAACACAGCTTGACTTGCTCTCAATACCGAGCATCTACTGCAAATCTCCTTAAGTTTAATTTGAAGGAAATTCCATCAGCAGACAGAGCATTTTTCTGACAACACACTTGTTCAGCACAGATTACTTTTACCTGCTGAACAGCTGCCAGTTACCTGCTGACAGCAATTTGGTTAAGACTACTTGACTGAGGCTGTGAGGTGACTTGTTTTTAAATTTTCCTGATTCACAAGTGAGCATTTTAAACGTTTGTTACTTCAGCTACCAAAACAGCTGCAAGAGGACACAGTGATATTCAGACCACTTCTAAACACTAGCCATGTTTCCCACGGACTAAAACACCTTCCAGAAAGGTATTTGCAGCTGGGGCAATGCCTGGCAAGTACTGTTAATAAAGAGCTTTTAGCTTCTGCTAAGTCATGTCCATATCAGAAGCCATTCTGGACAGAGGGGGGAAACGGAAAAAGTAATTTTTGATTCAAGATTCACTATACTGCTACAGTTATTGATACAGTAACTTACAACTTCAGATTCTTGTATTAGATTAAGGAGCAGAGAATTCGTTTTCTGAGAGTTTATTCCACATGGAATAGACAACCTCAACCACACAAAATTGGATTTTATTATCATTCAAATCCATTAACCACATTTTTTCAACAGACTTTTGTCAAAACTGACCAACCACTTTTGAATTTTTATGGTTGGCACTTGCATAAAGTTTTAATTCTTCTTCAACCCTTTAACTTCTAAAGTATTTCAAACCTGCACCTCTAAGACAGAAAAACAACCTCTCAAGGACCACCCACAAAATCATCTATGAAAGAAAGGCTCTAAACTGCCCTTTCAACTTGATGTATGCATGCTTTTCTGTATACACATCCTTTTCTATCCAGTGCTCTTGATAGAGAACAGCACAGAAGACATTTAAAAGCTTAGCATGAGGACAGGTTATTCTATTTTTGTAACTGTCCCAGACACAAGCTCAATACTCACAATAAGCCAAATGTGCCTAGGCATCTGGGTGGAGAGCTGAACACTGACTCCAGAGCAATGTTTTAAACCAAACAGGCCCAAGAAAGGCATCTGAAGAACGACCACTGCCACCTCATTGGTCCATCTGCTGTTCACCGAAGTGAGTCCTGCAGAGGCCCAGAGTTCTTTTCAGCACCATCTTCTTCATCCTCTATTTCAATCACTTCAGGTGGTTTTGCACGTTTTCTTCTTGGCTTTGACTTTTTTTTACTGGGAATTGTGCTGCTTAGAATGAAAGAGCTGTTCTCCTAAGAAAATTGGAAAACAGAAGTAGTAACAAGTCTAGTTTTGAGATACTTATGTAAGATTTTAGTAGTAAATATGTGGATTTTTAAGGACTCTACAGAATTCCTATACATTTCAGCATTACATTGAAGAAAAGAGTGGACTATCAGCCTCCTTCTGCACTAAGATCAGAATTCAGAGGTCACACTTAACTCTGGATCTAAGCTCAAGAACTGAATACTGAAGACATTATCTACTAATTCTTTAACTTCAGAACAGAAAGGCTAGAGTGTTTCTGAAGTTAAGGAGTGCTTACTTACCACTACTCTGGCATCAAGTTGTTCCCGAGTATCAGAATTCAAGCTCTCCTCATCATCATCACTGAAATAAAAAATTTAGATCAAACTGTGCACTTTTATGGACCTTAAAATGAGTAAACTACAAGCCCTTAAGTGAACAGTAGGTGAAAGACAGCATTGCACCTTTAACACTGTCTTTTAGGCTTTCTAAAGGTTACTTGCGGTTGCATTTACAACAGCAAGTATTCTTGCTGATTTCCTGATCTTTTTACTGCACTAAGCTAATTGCTTGACCCTGAAGACCAAAGATAACACTTTGGTTTTTAATAATGTAAAAAGGTATTAAAATTATCCTTTAGTCTTTGTTTTAGAAAACTGTGTTTTAGTCGGGATAACATTAGAGTGCATTTCACAAAATACTTTATTTCAATTTCTGCCAACAATTCTCAGTCTTCAGATCAAATTAAGAATACTTATTTCTGTGAGAACTTTTAAGTTACCATCTACAAACACAGAATATCCCAAGTGGTAGAGTGCTTTGCTCCCAAAATAAACAATGCTTTCATAGGTTAAAAGGACAGGACAACAACTGAACTTGATACACACACATTTATATATTAGTAAAGCACAAAAAAGTAAGTAAAGATGAACTTACTCTGTCTCCTGAATAGGGGAAATGGGGCCTTCATCATCTAAGTATTTGTGTTTCCGTAACACCATACACTCTTTTTCTAAGTCATCACTGGCCTGAAGAGCTTTTAAAGCTTTTTTAAGATGTTCTTCATATTTAAGCACTTCAATATACTTGAAATATCCCTTTGCAGCTGCTTGCTGTAGAAAAAAATACTCAGGTAAGATCTGAAATGTAATGCATTTACATAATGAACTGATAATGTAATATTCTACCAACACCAATATATATTCTTGCAGTATTTGCTTTAGAAGGTATTAATTCTACAACATTGAGTGTCCTGATTAATAGAAGTAAAACCTGTTTTATTCTAGTAGAAGCACAACATAGCCCATTTTAATTCTTAATTTTTAGACTTGGGAAAATATTTATCCCACAAAACAGAGGACATACCTCATAGCCAAGAACCATCTTTAAGGGAATATGCTTCTTCCCATAATGTTTTTCAACAAAGGGGAATTGAAAACCTCTGTCTAGGAGCCTCCTCTTTTGTTCCTGTGGTGAGGCTGTCAGTGGGGGCCTCCCTGTGGGCATGTGTGTGCTCTCATACTTTTTCTTCTTGCTCTTCCGTGCGTAAATTTTGTATTTTCTGTGTGCGGCTGCTTTGAACTTCCTTCCCCTGAAGTGATAAGCAAAAATGGCCTTCAAGTTGAGTTTTGACTTTTGCTGCTTGGAAACGTCTAATGATTTCCCTGGACTTTGAGGAGACAGTGAAGAATCTGAGGAGCTTTCATTGTCAGGTACTTCTGTAACAGATTCAGCTTGTTGCCTTGAATATTGAGATCGCCTTTTCTGCTTTGAAGGTGCAATGGAACACTCAGGACGAGCATCAGAGACATCACTGAAGAAGAAAAAGTATTTACTTTCAAAAGAAGGCTCACTTTTATGATACATTACACAGGTTCTCCACAGGAAAAATTCTGGACTAGAGATAAAAACTCACCTTTTTGAATCACTGCTGATCAGTAAAACCTCAGATGAAGCAGCTGATGATTTACACATGCTCTTAAGATGATCTGAAGACTCCCAAGGAACAGCCACCTTCTGCCTTGACCACTCTGTTCCTGTATTCCTTTGCCATAAACACACCTCAGATGGCTCCTGCTGCTGAGGGCTGATCAGCTCTTGGGCATCAGGGTAATCAGAGCCAGAAGTCTGGGGTTCATCTGTATCAGTCATCTTTCAGTTTGTCCTAAAAGGCAATGAGAATTCAATAAAATAAAAAGTTACATTAATCAGGTAACAAACTTTCCTCTACTCCACTCATGATCACAGGGTAAACTTAAGAACAATCCTGAGGTAACCTGAGCAGAGATTTTCCTATGAACCATGACCAGTTATATTCTTCATACTAACATTTATTAAGTCACAGCAAATTACCCCAAAGATATTCACAGCATAACTGAAGTCAGAAAATTTTTTAGTCTTTAGTTCAGTTCTTGCCCAGAGGAAGGCAAACATCAGTGGTGCAAGAGATTGTTCAGAGACTTACTGAGATGAATTCTGAATGTTTGAACCCTCTCCCTACTTAGGGTAAGTTTTCCTCCAAACAAGTACACATACACACAGCCAATGCCTTCTTATACTTGTAAGGATATTGCAGTTTTAAGTCATACAAAAATATTTACTTTACTGTGGTTTAAAACCTTAAAATTAATGCAGTGTCATCATGAGAAGCTATGCCATCTTCCTTCTGTTTTGTGAGCTCTAAGATATCTAACATCTCCTGCTCTTAACAATCCATCACCCATTTGTTTGGCTATTAATCATTAGAGACCAGCCCCAGAACAAAAATGCTAATTTTCACTTGAATCTGCAAGACAACACAGTCCAGCTCTTTTGTGGTCCAAGTCTACACAAAACAGACTGTAACATACAGCAAAGGAATCTAGCTTTCCTCTGCATGAGCCTAGAGTTATTTTACCTGTCATTTACTAGCCCTGTAGACCTGTATCTTTCTAATTTTACTGTGAGTTTTAGAGTTTTTTTCGAGTTTTACAAACTTGATCATCCTGAGGGCACATGCACAACAAGCAAAGGACTGGACCTAGTCAGCATGAATTTAGGAAAGGCAGGCCCCAACTGACCCACCTGATCTCCTTCTATGACCAGTGTATGAGGCAAAGGCTGTGGATGTCATTTGCCTGCACTTTAGTAAAGCTTTGGACACCATTTCTCAGTGTTCCCCTGGAGGAACTGGCTGCTCATGGTTTGGATGAAAAACTGGATGGATGGCTGGGCCCTGAGAGTGGTGCTGAATGGAGTTACATCCAGCTGGTAGCTGGTCTTAAGTGATGCTCCCCAGGGATTAGGTCTAGGTCCAGGCCAGTTTATTGTCCACTGACGACCTCAAAAAAGGGATTAAATGCACCCTCATTCAGCTGGCAGGTGACACCAAGTTGGGTGGGAATGCTGATCTGCTGGAGGGCAGGAAGGCTCTGCAGAGGTGTCTGCACAAGCTGGATTTGACAAACTGAAGCCAAGTGAGTGAGGTTTAACAAGGCAAAGTGCTGGGTCCTGCACGTGGGTCACAGCAGAAAAGGCCATGGGGGTGCTGGTTAACAGCAGCCCAGTATGATCCAGAGTGTGCCCAGGTGGCCAAGAAGGCCGATGGCACCCTGGCCTGGATCAGCAATAGTGGAGACAGCAACACCAGGGCAGGGATCATACCCCTTTACTCAGCACTGGTGAGGCCACATCTCAAATCCTGATTTCATTTTGGGCCCCTCACAACGAGAAAGACTTTCGTGCCAGCTCTGCTATGCCTCTGCAGGCACACTGCTCAACGCTGGTTCACCCGTGGCCTGACAAACACGAAGCCCAGAAACAAGACCAACCAACGCCAGCGGCAGCAATGCCACTCTGAGCGCACAGGCCCCGCCTGCTACTCACAAGTCGCAGCTCAGCATCCTTCGAGGTCCCTACCGCAGCTCCGGCCTGCGGCGCTGGCACGGCACGCAGATCCCTTGAGAAGAAAAACAACCACCTAAACTTGCTGAAAACCTGACCAAGGCGCCAGGCACACCCCTCGCCAGGCTCGGCTGCAGCAGCGCGCTGGGGCCGGCGCCACGGGAAGGCCTTTGGGACGGGGGGCAGGCACCATGTCATCCGGGCCGGGGACACCCCACCGGCACCGCTCCCGCGGGGCCCCTCACCGACCGCCGCCACACGCCCCGCTCCTCGGGGCATGACTCCACACCGCTCGGACTGTCCCTCCACCCCCGGCTCCCGCGTTCCCGGGCCCCGGCAGCGCGGATGGCGGCGGATCCGCCGGCCGCGAGGAACCTACCTGCGCCTCCCCCTGCCCCGCCGCAAAGGGCGCGCAATGGCCGCCCGCGCCTTAAATAGCGCCGAGAGCTCGCGAGAGGCGCGCGGGTCGACGGGAAGGAGGGGGAGGAGGATGGCGCCATGCTGGGAGTGGCGGCGGGGCGGTCGCGCTGGGGGCGGAGCCGAGCGGAGCCTTGCTGTGCCAGAGCCGGCGGCAGGGCAGGTACGTGCGGTCGGGCGGGAGCGGCTCTCCGCGCGTGCCAGAGCTCGGGCAGCTCCCGGCTTCCCGCCCGGTGAGAGGCTCCCGTTCCTGCTGTGCTGCTTGTCCTTCCCCAGGCTCCCCGAGCTGGCTGCTCCAGCCTGAGCAGCCCCTTCCTTCCCCCCGCAGCGGTGCCAGGCGTGCCGCTGGCTGTAGCGCTCCCTCGCTGCAGTGCTCTCCGCTGCCTTTGCCTGCCGGGATGCTCTGTGTCCCTCGGACCCCAGCCTCGCCTGGCACGCCTGTCAATACCCTGCCTTGGCCCGTCCCTTCCCCAAATTCCCAGCCGCTCCAACAGTTGCTTCTGCTGCCCCGTACGGGATCTCCGAGCACCGCCCCAGGAAGGAAATACGGCTTCTGCATCTGTGGATGTCTTGCTTTTCTTGGTGTCATCGCTAAACTTCTCTCTCACAATTGCCATCTTCAATTTTTTCCACGGATAGTTCTTCCCCCACCACCCTCCTCCCCGACTCATGTCTAGCCTGCCTACAACCTCTCCTTTTTGGCTTTAACTCTCCAAGCTAATTTCAAATCAGCTTTTGACAATAGACACCCCCCCACACATAATTAATCTAATGTTTCACATTTCATCTGTCTTCTCCTGGTACCTGACTGCTCTCTCTGATGTTTTCTTCCCACTTCAAAGGTAGACTTTTAAGTCTTTACATACTTGTTGCTTCCATTCTAGTTGCACCATCCCACATCTATAACTTTATCACCCCTTCAGCATTTCTGTTCTTTCTCTGAAATTTTTCTGTAACAATTCAGTGTCACCGCACCCCTCCATGATGGATCTTTATTATGTGCTGTTGTCTCAGGTTCTCTCTGTCCCACACCATGCAATTCACTCCCCTGTGAATATTTGCAGTGGTAGGGCACAGATTTACTCTTTTGTGTCTTTCCTGGTAAGAACTACTGTCTACCAATCAGATTGGGTTTATTATGGTACAAACAAAATTTTCCACAGTCTTTCCCTCCTTTCTTGATTGTGGGGAGCTAACTTATTTGAGTACTGTACAAGTCTTGTCTCTGCCTTTTGCACAACAGCAGTTCTAGCTTGTCTTCTCAGACTGTTTAAGGACAACAGTGTGTTGAGTGCTGGCACAGCCTCCTCCTGGATGTGGCAAAAGGTTCTTGAGGGGATGAGGATCACATAAAACAATCCTCCCAAAGCCATGTTCTCACTTTCTGCCTATGGCTAATCACTCCCTTTCTTGGTGCACACTAGAAGTCTTGTGGTATGATTCACTCTACCTGACATGAGGCTTCTACCAGAGGCACCAAATCCAGCCTGCTGATTTTTCCCCCAGAGCCAGAGGAGGGACGAAGTCAACTGTGGAGACAGATAAGACCAGCTAAGATGAAAATTATTATACACAGGTTGCAGTCTTTCTTCCCTTCTCTACTGCTTGTTACAGCAGTAATTTGGGGTGGCTGAGCATTGAGCTCAAAGATTTCAGTTAAGTGACTGCTACGATCTCCCCACTCTTCTTATTTCTTTTTTTTTCTCGCTGGTTTGTTTTTTTGGTTTTTTGTTTCCTTTATGCAGACTCAAGAGGCTAATGGTGTAAGGACAGTTACATTTTTTGACAGTCATAAAAGTTAGGATTTTTTAAAAGCAGAAGCTAGAACTGTACATAAGCAGCTGTCTCACACCATAGTCCTTCCTAACAAAGACTCAATCAGGTCTAGGAATGTAGTTAGGATTTTGGCTCTTTCCTTCTTCCACCTGAGATCTGGGTAAAAGGGACCCTTTTTTTTTTTTTTTTTTTTTTTTTTTTTTTTTTTTTTGCTGTGTGTAGCAAGTATGTGCCTAAGGAGTTAATGATTGCTGCAGCTGATTTTTAGGTAGTGTACAATCAGTTGTTTCTGCACTGACCTAGTGCCTTGCCCTTCTAGCTGGCTTTGCTGTTGCATGGCTGACTGAAATACAGTTCAGTTCTGAAGGGGCTCTTAAACTCATGTTCAAAACTTTTTTGTTACATTATTTTTTTTTTTAACATACTTTTTGTATGGGTACAGAGCCTGATACTGCAGGCTGTTGATTTCTATTTTGCTGCTGTTGATTGCTGCTATTGATTTCTATTTTGCTGCTAGCCTGTTCCTCTCTGGAAGGGGAAACACATGCCTAGAATCAACTGGAGATCATGTCACAGCTGGGGTTGAAAGTCCACCATAGCCAGTGCTGGAAAAGTAAACATTAAGTTTGGGAAGACCTTAGGAGACAGTTGATGTGCTCACAAAAGCTAGGTTTCTTTCAAAACTTTATTGTGACTCCAGGCTTACAAAAGACACCCAAATCTCCAGATCACTTCATCTGCATTCAGTGTAGGATATGTTTTCCCTACACCCAGTTGTCAGCTTGAGGACTAATATGCGTAATGCTCTGAGCCAGCTATATGGCTGACAGGATCTTCTTCCAAAATGCGTAAGAAATTTAACATTGCTATTGAAGCTGTCAGTCTCTCCTGTGATGCCAGAACTACAGTTCTATTTTTTCTATGTATTCTAGAGTGAAATTGAAAAATAATTAACGTGTTGAAAGGAGCCTGTTTAAATTGTTAAACTATTATCTTTGTTGGCAGACCAAATACTCTGCAGTGTGCTGTACTGTAACTTCTTACCTGAAGAAATCAGCACGAATCAGGAAATGGCCAAAGTCGAAAGGTTTGCTTTTCATGTCCCAAGTCTGGAGGAGCTTGCTGGGGGTAAGTAATACAACATGTGACTTTATACAAAGTTGTAATGTACTCTTCAAACTTATCTTAAAGCTCATACCAAAGTCTTTCTACAGCTAGTACATGCAGAATTCCTGTTTTTAGTACACTGAGGGGTGAAGAACAGCACTATTTCTCTATATGTGATGATTTTCTTAGAGAAAACAATGATTTCTCTCCAAGCCCCCAAGATATTTAAACACAGATGGGCTCTCAACTCCTTTAAAACCACTGAATATGCAGATTTCTGTGCAGGTCAAAAAAGTTTGACCACTACACACCAAACTTCTTTACACGTACAGAATCATCTGTCCTTCTCTACCCTCTAGTATTTCTTTCTTTTTCAGGACTGCTCAAAACATAGTTGACAAGATGCAGTGTAGCATGGCAGATCCTCTTGCTTGAACCTAGTTGGCTCCTCTTTGGTGACTGCCTTAGAACAGGGCTGCAGGAAGCAGCTTGTGTAGATTACTTCTGTAGATTGCCTTTGCAATATGTGCTGAGACTAACAGAATGGTTGAAGTTGGAAGGGGCTTCTGGGTTCAGCCCAGTTACTCATGAGCTTCTTTTGTTGCCCTAGTAGGAAGACATTATTCCTTCTGGCAGTCTCTCCCCTGCAGCAGATATACTGAAGGTTTTTTTGTCTTTCACATTGATCCTCAAGTTCAGTTTGCTACTTTCCCAAATCTGTGTCAGTTTGACATTTCCATGTATTGAGAATGTGTGGTCCCAGCAGTGCCCTGGGTGGTTCCCAGTGTTCGCCTCACCCTGTCAGACAGGGGCAGTAGGCCAGGGCTGCTGTAGAGCTGTGAGCTCTGCAGAGAACACCACATACTTGCAGTAGAACAGAAAGAGTATCAGAAAAATTTTATCACAAAACAGAATTTTTGTTTTTTCCTCCATCTGTCCTGAGGATCTCCCGTAAGCTGGGAATTGTGTTGTTGTTCATAATTTGAGGAGGGCTCTTTTATTGTCCTTGTCCATATGCCAGAAGGTACTGAGATGTATTTAGAAATGTGCCAAGTACCAGCTACTACTTTTGGTCAAGAGCTTGATAAATCTGATCTCAAGAAGTATGGTATGGCTGAAACCCTAACTGGAGGAAACAAAGGCACAGGAAAGTCTGTAAATAAGGAACCATCTGATTTGAGATCACAGACTGGATGTTCTGCTCTTTAGTTTGAGACATCTGTCAAAGCAGACCCCCAGGCATGAAAGAACCTGGACCTTTCAACATAGTATTTGAAGCAGTGTCTGTGAAGACAATCCCACACTAAAGGTTTGGAAGTTGTTTCCAAACAATGCACTCATCTAATCCTCCCTGTTGTTTGAGTGACTTTGCAAGTTCTGAGCCTAAAAAGACATTGATATGAAGCAAACCCAAAATTTTAGATTTGGTTCATTATCACTAACACCATTCATTCTCTGTCTTGCTGTGACAGTAGCACTTGCCAGAAAATCTCCCCAAGAGCATAAATATGATAGGCAGTATCCCATGGTGGTAGAAGTTTCCAGACAGCAGAGACAGTTTGAGATTATAATCAAGCTATTGCAAACTGTCTGGTTAATGTATGTAAAGAACTGATTGTTGCTTCAGCTAAAACTTGCTTCCTCCATTGCTCTTGCATCATATCTGACCATGATTGTAATTGTCCGCTCTTTGAAGCAAACCCACTGCTGAATGAGATTGAAGTTTGCCCATGTTACTTCACACTGTGCTGCTCCTAGTGCTCCCTGGAGCAGTTAGTCACTGTATTTCAATGAAAATGGTTTTTAAATTCTTTAAATTAATTAATGTGGCAAACAGTTACCTGCACAAACTTCTGCTCCTCTCTGAAGCTCAGAGTAATGTAACTAGTGCCTGCAGACATTTAAATCAATGGAGTTACTTTGGGTAAGCATAAATAATGTATCTTGCAGAAATAAAGCACAAACAGATACATTTATTGTTGTTAGAAACTTGTCAGACTCTTGGTAATTTTTCATTGTCAATAATTTTGCCATTATTCTTTATTACAGTTTTGCAGAAAGGGCTTAAAGAGAACTTTGCTGATGCTCAAGTCTCTGTTGTAGACTGTCCTGATCTGACTAAGGAACCCTTCAACTTTCCTGCTAAAGG